ACAAGCTTTGTTGTGTGCTGCTCAGAATTTAAATTACTATCAAACCAAACACCAAGGTTCTTTGCCACAGGCTTAATGTGATTTACTAGGTGCCATCTGCTGAGACCCGATGACCAGGATTTCTGTTTTGTCTGAGTTCAGTTGGAGGAAATTATTTGATTTGATTTAGATACAAGGAAAACAAAATGGGTCCTAAGACCGACCCCTGAGGCACACCATATTTAACTGGACAGAATGAGGAGTCATAGTTGTTTACAGACACGCAAAACTACCTATTTGACAGGTAGGATGAAAACCATTCTAGGGCAGTACCAGAGATCCCCACCCAGTGCCTCAGTCTGTCTAACATGATGTTGTGATCAATGGTGTCAAAAGCAGCGCTAAGGTCCAGGAGTACTAGGACTGAGCACATACCTTCATCAGCAGACATTAAAAGGTCATTGGTGACTTTGAGCAGGGCAGTCTCAGTGCTGTGGTACTTCCTGAAACCAGATTAAAAATTTTCAAATATTTTGTTATTTTCCAGTACAGCAGCTGTTTGGACACAATTCTTTCTAGAATCTTTGGTCTAAAATTATGTGGGAGGGAGGGATCTAAACCAGGTTTCTTTAAAAGTGGGTTCACGCAAGCCGTTATAAAATAATCAGGGACACAACCAGTAGATAGGGAGCTGTTAAATACAGAGATCAAAAGGGCCCAACAGAATCCATTACTTTCAGTAAAAACTTTGTAGGTATTACATCAAGTGGGCTGGAGGACACTCTCATTTGTGATACTGTTTTTAAAAGCTCAGACAAGTCGATGGGATAAAACTGGTTAAAACTCTCTTGTTGCTGGTGAGGAACCTCTGAGTAAGAGGCCGCGGGGGTAATAGAGGCTCTGATTGACACCACCTTATTGGTAAAATAAGATAAAAACAATTCACAGTCATCATTACTTCCAGCTGAGGCACAAGGATGGGTTGGGTTTACCAGCTGATCCACAGTCTTAAAAAGAAACCTGGGATTGTGTTTATGTGTAGTAATGAGTTCAGAAAAATAGTGTGTTCTCGCATCCTTAACCATGTTATTGTATTTAATTGATAAATCCTTCAGACTGAGGTAATGGACTTGGAGACTGGATTTAGGCCTAACCTTTAGAGGAGCAGTAATATTTAGTGACGACAAGCAGATATGATTGAAGTGATCGACCAGATTGTTGGTGTTGGAATCAGACAGGTGTTGGCTTTGGCTCTGAAAGAATGCGCAAAACTTTGAAACTCTTTGTTCATTAAAGATGCGAGAACACACGGAGCTTGGTGAGGCGGCATGAGTAACAGGCGAATTGCAGCTAAAAACAATATCTGTGGTCAGATATGGTCATGTCCACTAATTCCACAGAGGAAATGCTGACACCCAGGGTAAAAACCAAGTCCAGTGTATGACCACGGTTATGTGTTTGCCCTTTGACATGTTGTTTGAAGTTAAAAGAAGTGGCCATATTTAAAAAGTCAGTTGCATTAACATTGGTGGGGTCATCAACATGAATATTAAAATCATCACAAAGAACAATTCTGTCATAATTTAAAACCAGAGTAGATAAAAATTCAGGAAGTTCTGATAAAAATCCTCCAGGCGGTTTTGGGGGGCGATAAATTATAATAAATATGATAGGTTGCAGCCCTCCAACTTTAAGAGTGAGAACTTCAAAGGAGTTAAATTCATCACAGCATACTTGATGACATTTTAAATATGTAATATATATTTAAATATCCTATACACGCTCACTAGCCCACCACCACGACCACTGACCCTCGGTTGACTAAAACAATCATATTGAGGCGGACACAGTTCAGCTAGCTGGCTATAGTCATTCATTTGCAACCAGGATTCAGTTAAAAACATAAAATCTAGATTTGCAGACAAGATAAAATCATTTAAGATAAAAGTCTTACTTGACAGAGATCTCACATTGAAGAGAGCCATTTTAAATGAGTTTGTTCTGGGTGCTGGAGTTGGTGCAGTTGTCCTAATCCTTAAGAGATTACTAATATTTCTGTGTGGGATGTGCACATTTCGGTTTACTGGTCTATGCGTGATGACGACGGGAATAGAAGTCTTTGGAACAGCGCTGGGAGCAGACGGCTTTACATGCCAGCAGGTGGAGACAGTTGTTTGTGGCAGTGAGGTAGAGATCTGTTCAGTGAGCGGTGGTGTGTCCAGGTGTGCTGCATGAATGATGAGTCATTCACGTAAGTCATGTGTGGACCGCACCACATGCTGTATGTGCGCAGCTAACATTTCTGAGCCCCGTTTGTTTGGGTGAAGTCCGTCTGTCTTAAAAAGAGACATTCTTTGCCAGAAAATATTAAAATTATCCACATAAAACACACGATGAGCCCTGCAGGCGGACTGGAGCCAGTCGTGGAGGCCAAGGAGTCTACTGAAGCGGCCAGCACCGCGACCAACTGTGGGAATGGGACCAGAGATAAAAACGGACTTTCCGCACTGCTTTAAAAAGTTAAGAAGACGGTTAAAATCTGATTTTGTCAGCTCAGACTGCTGAAGAGCTGTGTCATTTGATGGAGGACGGGAGCGACGGCATTAGGTCCTGGAGTTTTTTTAAAACGCACAGGGGAAGCAGCGAGTGGTAGCGTTAAAGAAACGGAGGTTTCTGGTTATGGAGTCACCAATGATTAGTGTGGTTGGGGAGAAAAGAGGACGAGGAGATGCCGGTTATGGGGTTCCAGAGCAGGACTGAGCAGAATCTGCTTCAACACTGCGTGCGGACTGAGGATGGAGTGTGTGAGCTGTTGAGTGTTGTGTTGGAGTAGCAGTAACAGACCTGAGAGAAGGGCTACCCGACGGTGCAGGGTAGAGACGGCCTCCGGAGCGTCTGAGCACAGCCTCCTTCAGGATCCTACGTCGGGAAGCGAAGGTTTTTGACCAGGATTACGGCCGCCGATCAGGCCCGGCGGCAGACCGGGAGATGTAGCCGGTGGAGGAGATGCAACAGTGTCGGCAGGCACTGTTCGCCGAAAGAGATCCGTATCAGGGAGACTCGAAGCCGCAGGTGCATCCGCTGGTTGGACCGGAGTGTCGTCAGACAGAGCTGCATAGTGGTTGGAGAGGCCGATGTGCGGAGGAGAGGCAGCCCCATCCGAGCCTCTCTTGCAGCCACGGACCACCACTTCAGCCCAGGTTGACTGATGCTTCGGAGTCGAGCAGGATGAAAGCCTGGGAAGACTAGAGGGGTCCCAAAACACGGTGTCCTGGATGTTGGCGGTTGCGCTAAGAGAAACAATCTGTTTGGCTTGTACTGAAGCTACATCCATAAAGCCAGTCAGCAGGGAATCTTTCTCTTTGAGTTCCTTTGAAAGTCGTCGGATGTCTTCCATCAGGTCAGAAATCTTCCTGTTCGCTTTCTTAAGGAGTGTGCAGTCCTCATGGGGCAGAGTTATCTCGGCTAGCATAGTCACCGGAGCTTTGTTGTGGTCAGTAACGTTGATCGCGTTTTTACGGTCATCTAGCTTAAAATCCATGTCGGATGACTAAAATCCTTAACCCACGTAAAACTTAAGTTAAAAACTTAAGTTAAATGAAAAGGATATAAAAAATGTAACGAAAAAGAGTGGATTAAAACTGGATAAGAGTCCGGTTTAAGACCGAGCTTCCGACCGGTAGCTACAGACGCCAATTTATGCGCAGAGTGCAGATTACGTCAGCGATCTTGTGACCTTGACCTACTCGCACCTATTGACTATGCGGCACTTCAGGTCTCAGACCTTAAGATGATGGTGCACAATCAGAGTATATTTATAAAGATACGAATCTAATGTTTCACAAACATTATTAAAATCCCCCCACACAGGCTTGGTTATCAAATAACCTGTAGCCTAGATTTCATGAAAGTGCTGCTGTTCGAAGTTCCCTGTAGTTTTGGAGGTGTATTTGTTACACCACTGTTTTCTGTCAGACCACTGCATCTGACCATGTGACATTAAGCTACTGATTTTTATTAGTGACAAATGTGGAGGTGTCAATCTGTCTTTTGTTTGCAAAAGCTACCCCCATCACTCTAAATGAATAAATATAAATCACACTAAGGTGAGTTGTAATGCTAGATGGGGACAGATGGGTGTATGTAGAAATACAGCCCGTACTGAAATGTATCCAACACTTTTGGTAAAAGTACTTGAATAAATGTGATAGCTTTTCTTGGTACCTGTAAAAATATTTAGTACTTTGAATTGACCGTGTGGAAAGCGCTCAGTTTGTTTAGTATGGAAGTTAAGGTTTCATTCAGTTTAACCAGAGAGGACAATTGACAGTCTACAGTCCTGAGAGTACTAACCCAAGCATTAGCCTTATGAAAAACAAAACAATTTCTTACCATAAAAATCTGTTATAATCCTACACATTACACAGTTTTGCAACTATAGTTAGCCTTCCATACAAAAGAGCATGATACAGGACACATCACCACTGCTGATTCCTGACTGTTCATAACCATCACCGGCCCCCCCTAATGTTGTGGTTGGTACAGGTGTAGTGGGATTAATCTGTGCTTGGTCTGATATTAATGTGACAATTATAGTCAAATAGGAGATCAGAAGTTTGAATGGGGTTGTCTCTGGTCTTGAGTTGACCTTTCTTCAAGATCATTTCCAACAATGACGAGTGGATAAACTGGAGTATGGGCTCTGAATTTTATGTCCTGAGGATGATGACGTCGATGCTGCTGTAACAAATGTGTGTAGCTGCCACAAATGCTCTATTTATTTTCAATTAGACTTGTTCATATTGCGTTTCCTTCGAAGGCCTAGAGTCAGACGACAAAATCAATATCTCATCCCTGCAGCGTCTCCTCTGACAGGAGTATCAGTCACGTTGACTTATTTCATTTGAACGCTCTAGTCTTGTTTGATTTGTATAGAAAGGAAATTGTGATTTAAAAAAAATATTTGGATGATTGAAGAGAGTGTACTGTAATGTGAAATAATAAATAACTTGACAGGTGTATAGAGATGATTCCAGCAATTTAATTCAATGAACAGAAGAGTACCGCACAAGATTGCATCAGCAGAGGTTTATGCATAGACTTTGATTCTTAAAATATTATACACATATTCTTTTTTTTTTTTAATTGAATAACCTCCTTGTATTTTCATAACACTTTCATATGGCATTCTGATAAATTCCTCACTATTTAGTACAGGATGTTTGTCAGGTGTTTATGTATTTCTTTCTTCCCTTTTTTTGATATGTTACACACATTGGTGGGGAGAAAGATTTGTTGAAGTCAAAGCAAAAACACTGCAACTTTGAATGCCACTGCACTGTACACACTACAAGACTTGTCCACTGTGAAACACTAAGGCATTCAAAAATGAAATAAAAGGGACTCTTGAACAACAAAAAAATTAGATCAAGATTAGCAAATACAGAACCAACAATTGGTATTGAAATTATTTAGCAGCAGTTTCAGAAAGAGAAGACAAGAGAAAACAACAAACTGCTGGCAAATGACAGCAGAAGCTCTGGCAATTTTCCTGAAATTTCTTTCATAGAGAAGTTGGAAAAAAATAGCTGATGTGATTTTTATATTTTTTTTTAATGGGGGAGAAAAATGGTAAACTAACCTCAAGTTGGTGATTTTTCAGATAATCAACCACCAATCTGAACAATAATCCATTATATTTTCATTAAAGCATACATTTTAGTTTTTATTTTCATTAAAATTGTAATTACTGTAACACAGACTATGAATTTATGGCATTAAGATTCAATTCAGCAGCCGGGTAAATCAGGTTTTGGTGGGTTTACCCTCCAACTACATCCATGCTAGGCCCCAAGCTGTCCCACATATTTCCTACACACATTTCCCCTGTCAGGGATTCAGTCCACTGCATGGCACTTTCCTCCGTGGTGTTAGGCCTGGGACATCGAGGAGACAAGTCTTTTTTTTTTTTCAATTTTTTATCAGGTTAGCTTTAGAGAGATCTAAGCGAGCTGCCGCTGTGCAGCTGACTACATGTTCTTGTACATGGAGCGATCTCTGGGGAGCTGGGGCTGGTTCGCCGTCAGCTTCAGGTGGAAGTGGTATACCGTGAGCGTGATGACGATGATGAGGGCCAAAATGAAGCCCAGGATGAGGGGGAGGGTCTCCTCCAGGCGCTCCCGCTGGTCGGTGATACACTTGTAGGCTGCAAAAAGTAAAATAATGAGCATAGTCAGCATGTTAAGGTGACGGAACATGACTGACAAGGGTCCTAAAAAGGCCTATAGGGAATTTTTTGTGTGCATTGTCTTTTCGGGCTGGGTGCCTTTCAATGGAATCGTATTGTGATAATGTGGTCATTTAAAATAAGACAACTAACTGCGCCTAAAAGTTATTTTCATTATTGTTTAATCTAGTGATTTCTTTCTTGATTAATTGTTTTTTGTAAAATTGAGAAAAACGCAACTGATGTCTTCAGATTTACTGTTTTCTCCAGCCAGGGCTTTACGAGTCCACTACTGTGAAGGATGAAAGAATCCAGCAAATATTCACATTTGAGAAGCTTAAACTAGTGAATTTGGCCATTTTTGCTTAAAAGAATGACTTAAATGATGCATCAATTATTAAAATAGCTGATTTAATTTTATTGATTTCTGTCAATTGACCATCCTTTAATCAAGTAATCATTTAACATCTAATTGAATGATTCCAATTTAATTGGTAAGTAGCTATGGGTTTTTTTGTGTTACACATGTAAGGCGTTTTCTGATGCAGTGCGTACAGTGGAACACAGTTAACTGCATTGAACGTCAGTTTGATCATTTTGTATGGGATTTAATATCACTCAGCCCTGTCGTCTTGGTGACCTTCAAGACTGTAGTAACCACGCACTCACCATGTGGCCCCTTACTGGGTTTGTCAGGCTGCAGTATAGGCTGACACGGACCTAAGTGTGCAGCGTACATAGTGGTGTGGTGTGTGTGCATGCATATCTGTGAGTAGCACGTGTGTGAAAAATAGTGGTAGCGTCTGTGTGTTTAAACAGAAACAACTGTTCCTGAGGGTTTTTTTGTAAAAAATAAATAAATCACAGAAAGGTGAACTTTCACAGATGCTTCTTCTCTCTTTCAGTTGTCACACACAGTTTTCTTTCCCTCTTTTGTGTCTAAGTGGGGCTGGAAGTGCAGTATGCGTTTTAAAGTTGAAGGTGTTTCTCTCTGTGGACAGCAGTAATGCACACTAGGAGGAAGGCAGTGAAGCATGGCGCAGCCCAGTTTACAGCAGCTCAGACCAAATGATTCTTCCAAGGTGATTGGCTTCAGAGGACAGTCCAGGTACATTGTGTGTGTCTATAAAAGCTTGCATTGAGGATAAGATATGACTGCACTCATAAAGTCCTAATGACCCCCACTGCTTCTTTCCTTCTCTCTCCGCCTCTCTTTTCATCTCTTTCATCTGTCTTGCATCCCCCACCCCCTCTTTTTTTCTCTTGTTACCCTGTCTCCATCTCTGCAGTCTTATGTACTCCATACTGCAGCAATAGGAGAGAGAGAGAGTCAGGGACTAGAAAACAGTGGCAGTGTTTCTCAAAAAAGGAATTGTATGTGAATTGTTCTTACGTTCGCTGAACATGAAGTCAGAGGCGATGTCAAAGGGCTGGATCTGGATGTCATACATGGAGACGGTGATGCCCTTCTGGTGGTCGCTTGAGATGAGGGTGAGAGTCTGCTGTGCTGTGCACACAAAGGAGCGCCCGGCGGGGGTCACCAGGGCCGACAGGCGGTGGGTGCTGGCTGTGTGCTTCCCAGCTGCAGAGAAAGCATGAGTCATGGATGAATATAAAGTAAGCATGAAGGCATTATAATGTTTAAGGTGTGTGTGGGCCTCCATGTGGGCCTGTGTGAAAACGAGATTCATAAATGTTCAATATAAAAAACAAAATAACAGGAAAAATAATAAAATATAAAACAAACCAAAACGACTTGTTGACAACAGAATAATTAAACTTAGTATGACAACTTAGTTAAACGAGTTTATAGGAAGATACAAAACCGAAAAATGCTCTAGTTTTGTTTTTTACGTTGCAATAATAATAATAGGCATATTTTTCAGTTCAAAGGCATAGCCTACTGTAACTTTACCTAAACTCTGCAATAATTCCAGTGAAATGTTTCCAAAAATGCGTGCGTCATAAATAGACCTACAAGCATGAATCCACCTTGTAATTCCATCTGAATGTAGTTGTGAGATGAATGACGGCAAGTTGCGATCAGAGCTGAGTGGTTACTGTACACATGGCTCGGCGGGAGACTCACGGTTGTATGCGTTGATGAATTGCGACGTCTCCGAGGTGTCGTAGACGAACTGGACCTTGCTAACCTTCCACACCTCAATGTCCTTGTCACGGGACTCCTGTGGGACGCAGACACATGCCAATGTTTGACAGAAACTTCAAACTAAAGACAATGTGAACCCCAGTAAATTCGTGAAAACGGATTTTTAGGTGATGTATTAGCGTCCTCATCCTCAGGAGATGGTTGTGATGCTACATTGCATTGGTGTCACTTTCTCGCCCACCTTAGAGAAGTAGATGCGGAGAATGTAGGCGTTGTTCTTCCAGGTTATGTGGATCTCTGACTCCGTGCTCCCACATTTCCCCTCGATTTCCGCACTACGGGGCAGAGTGAACGACGCCTGCTCGGTGATTAGCTGCAAACAGATACAAGTAGGAGTAAAAAGTTGAGCGATAGCAGATCGCGGACTGTAATGTCGCTGGTAGGAGCTTTTAGCATTAGCGTTCAATTTTTACGCACGAATGTTCAGCATAAACGCATATCCAGAAAACCGTCCGGATTATTTTGATGAGAGGTTCTTAGAACCAGAGACAAAGAAAATTCAATTCATGGGAAAAAAAAAAAAAGTTTGATATCAGAAAATGTTTTCCTTTTCCTGATGATGGTCGACGTCAGCATTTTACGCACGACCACACAGAAGAAAAGCAGTTTCCAAGTACAACTCTAATGTGTTCAAAATACATTCCTCTTTATTAATAAGAACAGAAACAGTCCATTTACATAAATAGCGCAATATTTTTCAACACAATTCCAGGGCAGCAACCACTTTTACGCACAACGGATTAACCTTTGTCTTCACGTTATACATCCTGAAACGGCCTGTGCGTATCTTTCCTTTTTTTCCCCTACAGCATCCACATGTATTAAAATGCACGGGGGATTCCTTACGTCTATGCCGTTGAGCGCGAGCACGTCATATGGCACGAGGAATTTCACGGCGAACTCCACCATCAGGCATGTTGTGCCGTTCTCTCGGACCGCGAAGATGGCTTTGTCTGGGTTGTTGGAGAGGCCGGACAGGTTCTCCCCTTCCTGCTCCGCCAGCACCACGGACAGCGCTAGCACACCTGGCCACGGAGCAGAAAAGAATAGGATTTTGGTGGGGGCACTTACGGGGTAACAGATGGGGCATACGCATACCAAAACATGCAGAATCAGCAGAGACAGCGGCGTACTGGGTTGCCATTGAGTTTAGCGGTGTCCCCCCCCCACCACATTTTTAGATCCCTGGCATATCACCTCTGTTTCCTCACGGCATAGTCAACATCAGGTTAAAAACACTGGACGTCAGAAATCTGCAGTATCGGGGGAGCAACAGCACGCCACTGGCTGCAGTCTAAACAGCGCCAGGAAGTGATGAGCTGCAACTCTGATCATGTTTGAAAGACTTTTCTATTCATGTGAGGAGGTAATAACAGGTGAAATATGCCAACTCAGTGAAACATAAGAGCACACATACACCCGGTCGTGCCCGAACACGCGCAGAAGAGGCCCACGCACGCACACATACGCACACACTCACTGCAGTGAGGAGTCACGACAACTGCGCACACACACAGCAACACACACTCTCTCTCCCCCTTACCAAACACACAGAGCAGCAGAAGTCGAGCGCTCTCCGTGGTACTGAACCCGAGTCGTTCCATTGCTATCAGCTTCCCCAGCGCTGGAAAAAAAGAGGGGGGCAAACTGACTGAGCAGCCTGTGCTGAAGCCACGAAAAGAAAAGAGAGAAAGACAGAGAGGGGAGGCGGGAGAGAGAGAAAGAAAGGGGGGAAGAGAGAGAGAGGAGGGATGCCTCTACTCAGCGCCCGTAAGTCACGCTCAGATCATCGTGAATGCAGCAAAAAAATGTCTCGACGTGAGATCCGGTTTGAGCTGCAGAAGCAGCCGGCTCCGAGGAGTTCTGACTGTCCAAACCGACCTGCCTCCCCAAGGTTGACAAGGTTTAACGCAGTGGCAGCTGCAGGACCGAGCTCCCTCTATGCATTATTAACACCAGGAATAAATAGGTCCTTCTTGAATGACAAAGTCCGTCATCTGAAAGTCCGTCACCTGTGTCTCTTGTAAGGACGAACTCGGCATGCAGTCTCAGTTATTCCCGCAATGCTGTGCTCGCCATCTCTGTGGTAGCAGCTGTAGGCTGGGCTGAAATGATGTACGTCTGGAGGGAAACGCCGACAACACCCTCTCCCTCCCTCCCTCTATTCCGAACTCCACTTCTGTAAGGTTTGCAGCTGAGAGTTTGTGAGAATGGGTGCTGTAAAACATCTGTTCATCTTAAACGGATACGTATTAAGATTAATATTATTAAGAGATTTATTAAAGAAGCATTTCAGAAGTTATGACACAAGTGAACCTGACACCGGAACCACTAGGGTATCATTTTTCTCTTGCTTTACGAATCGTGATTTTGAGACTAATTACACACAGAAGATCGGACTAAACTTAACGCTTAATTGAGATGACTAGAATTACACCAACGCCTGAATCGTTAAATGGTATTGATGTCTCTTTTTGAAAATGTACTGTAAATACTCTACGCAATAATGCTATCTGATTGATTGCCTGTCTTTCTTTCTCGCGCACGCACTCATCTAACACAGGACACTAGGTTCATTTCAGATGCCTGAGAGTGCGATTCTAATCACTGTTAGCAACCATAAAAATCAGCAATTGAAGATGGCACGCCAACCAATAGAAATCTACGCTGATGTGACATGTGAAATATTGTAGCATAACACAAGTAAATGCTAACCGTAGCCTATATAATATATTGAACATCACCTCTCCACCTTCGATGTAACCCCCTACCCACTCCAAAGGGAGTGGCAAATGCTGCTGAACATATGATGTTTATACTGGAACTAGAAGTTACACATTGCGTTTCAGCTGCAGTGTCCGACCGGCGGGTGCTGGTATTTTACGCACATGCAAAGTACTCTGAATTGCTGTTGTTATTCATTTGTAGTCAAATGCCTTTAGGTTCGTTTTTACCCCCTCTATACATCGGTTGATAGCGTCCGGATGTAACATGGCAGAAACTTTTGCAGGACGTTAACCACATCGACTCTGTTGGATGCACTGATCATTTGCAGGCAAGCCATTTGAATTTTGACGGTCAGTGAAGATCACAAGACACATTTTGGAGGTGACTTTAGGAAAGTAGCTAATTGAGTGCAGCGGATTATCTCTCTCAAGTAACTAGGTCTAAAACTACCGTTCTAGTAAGTTTAGTCACACTTTTTACGCATGACGCATTGTTTTTATTTAAGAGTTTGGCGTTCTGAAATGAAAATCAAACTCGCACTTGACTGAGCTGATGCTGTCGATGCTGGGTTTACTGTCCACCTGGGGATGTTTTATGCCCTGAGGAAATGTTTCTGATCGCGGCATCGGCCCCGACGTCAGCACCGGATCCTCCTCCAACTCTTTCACATCCTTTTTAAACTCCGGGGAGGTAAAACGGCGCAGGAGTTTGTTGCTCAGCACCGAGAAAGTAGTGTTTGAAGTAGCGGCAGCTGGGACGGCAAAGTGAGGAGGCTCAGCCTTGCAGGGAGACGCTTCACGCCTCCTCGCGGTTCTGGGTTTACGCAAATGCACCAGTGTGCGCTCTGGAGGTGTGGGGCTGTGGATGCTGGTTGGCAGACTCCATCTTTTCTGATAGTAGCTGTCGTGAAATCTGCGCACACCGAAGTCTAACATTTTAGATTTTTCTGTCCGTGGTTCATGCATACTTTTGTTGGCTAGGATGGGAGTCAGTAAGATGCCCAAGGCAGAGGGCGCGCTGGGTTCGGGGATGTTTCTGCCGGGCCGGGGTGAAAAGAAAATACATGTTTGAGCCTGACAGCTCTGTATAAGAGGAGGGAGGTGATAATCAGAAGTGGACAGCTTTCGCCCGGTTTTAGGGTGCTCATAATTTGGAGAATGGTCGGAAGTCCGCGGAAGGGGTGTATGGGTAAGGACTCTGGAGAAGACCAGCTCCTGTGGATGCAAGGTGGAGCATTCACTCCCTCTTTCAAACTCATCTATTGAGTCCATTGATGGTAACCGAATCTGCTTTATCCGAGGCCTTGGTTGCCAAGTGCAATTACGAACTAATAAGCAGTCTTCATGATTACACGTTTGGAGGGTCTCAAGTTTGTTCACTAAATGTCCAACTTTCCTCTCAAACGTGTCATGCACATCCCCACATCCCAAACTAAGTCGCGGCTGCGCGTTTCCCCGAGCGCCTCCCTCAGCCTCCCGGCCCTTCTTGGAGTTGTTAGTGAGCGCAGAGATGCACTCAGTGTGCCCGAGAAACTTTGCCACTTTAACAGCAGAGTTTCCAACTTTATTCTGCCTGTCTATCTGAAGACCCAGCCTCCTGAAAGCTCTCACCAAGAACTCAACCACAGGGGAGTGACCTGCTACTGCGGCGTACATTAGCGCAGTGTTCCCCCAGGAGTCCACAATCTCCGGGTCTGCATTGTTTCGGACCAGGATCTTCACAGCATCCAGGTAGCCTTTCTCACAAGCATAACTGAGCGCGGTCCGCCCGTCCCCGTCCTGACAGTTGACATTGGCTCCTCTCTGCAGCAGAAGCTCGACAAACTTACACCGAGTCTGACCATCAGGCAGTAGGATAGAAGAGATGAGGGGGGTATGTGCGCCCTCTGTTTTCGAGTCCACGATTTCCCCATCCAGCGCGTCCAGAACGAACTTGGCCAGGTGGACTTTGTCGTTGGACATCGCTTCCAGGAGGATCTTGGTGCCTGTTTGCCCATAGGACTTCGCCTGAGCCTTGAACATGATTCTGAAATGTGCCAAAAACTTATCGGAGAAATCTCATGTTTTTACAATATGGATCCGGTTTGGAAACTTCTTCCGCAAACGAATGCCGACAACACAGACTCATCACCCCTGTTTATATAGTGAAGTGGAAGCCACAGAGTTGCCGGGCAACGCAAATATAATTACCGCGCGTTGTTCGTCTTTCTAATGGAAATAGGCCTAGCCTGCTTTATAATGACAATAAGAGCTTCAGCGCTGGAGCCGCCTGTTTAAGAGTGGATCTGGGATATTAATTCACCCTGCACTTGTTGAATGTGATTAGACAGCCGTGGGCATTGTTTGTGGAGTAAGTGCGGGGGTGGTGCGTGCTCTCGCTCTTAACAATAAATCTGGCTTGCAGACAGTGCGGCCCCACTTGAGACATTTTCAGCACACAATGATCAGATCTCAGCAGGAACACACTGAGGGGATGAATAGTTTCCATTGTTGGCATTAAAATAACGTTTTAATGAGTCTAGAAAAAGGAATTTTCAATAAATTTTTGGTGCTGTTAAGGTACAAGAAGCCCTTTAACCAATTTTATTTAAATGAATCAAAATCACCCACAGTTGCACTCTGAAGAAACACAAATGAGCCACATAGTTGTCCCATTTTACACCTGGATTTATTGATACACATACTATAAAACAGTATTAAAGGAGCTGGATAACAACAGTATTTTCATTGCTTTAAGTTCAACAATACAATATATAAATACAAAAACACGCACAGAATGGTTTGTTGACAAGCTACAGTTCAAATAGAAAACATAGGAGATACAGTAGAAACTGAGGAAATTAAATCAGTGATGTCGCTCTGCAAAAATAATCTGCTTTTTGACAAACTAGAAAGCCAAAGGTTACATGTAATCACACAACAGAAACATTCGACTAGTGCAAAAAAAGCCTCTAACAAACAGAATAATCTTAAACTACACATTATATCTAATATATATAATATATATATATTCATTTATTTATATATATCTTCATATAAATAACCCCTTAATTTGGCATTTTATCATTCGTAAAATAATTTTAACATCCTAACAGACACTGAGTGGCACATTTGAAAGCGATGGAATGAAATTTAAAAGCACTTTTACTTGTTTATCTCTGCACTAGATATGTGGTGAGAGCTTTATACTGTGTTGTGTGGTGCAGTAAGGGCAGACGGGAAAACAAAAAGAACAAACAAGAAATCCCAGTGGTTGATAAATGTCTTTCCCCAACATCCAACAGACTCCAACTCTATCCCCTGAGCCCTTGTGAGACAGAACACACTTGGTCAAAAAGTAAATTAAACTACATACATTCCAGTATATACAATAAGATCCCGTCTACCCTTTTACATGTTACAGTAGAATAAAACAGAAACAAATCTTTATAAAGGCCAAATTACTTAGGTGCTTTTAGCCCCATGTTTGTTAGTTTTCATATCACCATTATTTTTGTCATTTTGGTTGATCTTTTTTAGTGGTATGCCATGCAGTGTGAATGTCCGGCATAGTCATATGTGCACAAATACTACAGTACCCACAGGATTACTTCATGATAGTACTTCACATCACATTTTTTCTCTGCAGTGGCTTTTTGTCCAGCAGTGACACCAGGGCTGCGTACAATAGTGCTTCCCATAAACAGTAACATTGACAAGCCAACCTGTTTGGGACACAGAGGGATACCGGCCTTGTCTGAAATCCCTGGTGTGGATAGTGTGTGGCAGCCATGTCACAGACTGTGTTAGAAATTATTCACTCTAATCCCCCCTGACCAAAGGCCAGCAGATTACAAGCCGAGGTTACTAATGTGCAGTCAAGAAGCTATTAAGGGAGCGCTTCATTTCAACAATGCCTTAATGAGTAGGAAACTGATGAGACTGTTTTGACTTCTGTCCGCCAAAGTTCTTGTCTGATGGTGATGGTCTGGTCAATTAAAACAATGTATTACAGCAGACTTAACATGCTGCCAAGAATGGATTCATTTAGTTACCACTGTATTACAGATCGGCACAATTTTCACAAGTTTGTGCCAGTGCAAATTTCCTTTAATGCAAAGACCCATTTTAATCCCATGTAACCTTTTACTCACTGGTAGATGTCCCCTTATTATATCATTTTAAATTAGGTGTTACTACTCATGTCATTGCCTTAGTTTGCAGGGATGCAACAATTGTATCACGATTTTAAAGGCAAAGAAATTGTGTATTTGTATACCTTCAACTTTGAGGGAATCATGTAATTGTTCGTTTTTGCATAGTACACATGATTTTGAGCCTAAAGTTGAGTTTTACAACTTGTAATGATTGAGCTCAAGCAATTGTAAACAAAAATGACAGTGCTTCAGTTTTATTTGAAAATAACACATTCTCAAGTAAAAGTGAAGCACAGAAGTTACACAATTTATTGGGTATTTCCGACTAATTACAACAGAATTTGACAGTAATCAGCCATAATGATGAAAAAAGTGAACATCAGTCCATTGTGATCCCTTTTACAGTCTTCTGACTCAGCCAGATAAGCCTTTTTATAGTGGGCTGTAACATTGATCAACAACAAAAAGTCAGTAATACATCTTTGTAAAGTCAAACAGCTTGCATTGCAGGAATATGTAACTGGGTGGGGGGTGTTGCCAATCCTTCATACAGTGATATATGTAAATATATATATATATTTAAATACATTCTTACGTAATACAGAGAGCCTACAGTAGTGCACTGCTACATTTTTCTCACATTGTTATGATGGCACACACAAAGTGCTCAGGACAAGACCGGTGTGTAGCATACAGTGTTTTACACAAAGTTTATTCGTTTGTGCTGAATTGACATGAAATCTTATATTCTTCTCCCCTCTTCCACGCTGTGTTTGGAGCAGTTAATTGGGTACCAATTTAAACAAACACACAAAAAACCCAGAAAAAATCCAAATGAGTCAAAAAGGAAATGGACATCTACTTCCCATGAGCGAACATATTTGTGTGTGTGTGTGTGTGTGTGTGTGTGTGTGTGTGTGTGTCCACCAATAGCTTCAGCTTGTGTTGCCCGTAGGACGCAGAGAACGTTGAAGGTCACAGGAAATGTAGATCTACATACAGTGGACGAGTCGATGGGTCTGACTCTGTGTTGCTCCATCTTCAATAAGTGATTAAACCCCCCGTCAAACAGTGAAAAGCGCCAATGGCTCAGTGGTATAAAGTGAGGGGTAAGGGTGCAGAGTGGGAGGCGGGGGGGTGGACTGTGACAGAAGTGTACAGAGACAGGGATGTTGGCAGGGTTAACATCTCTGGGTTGTAGAGGGATATCCGCGGTGGAGTTTTTATGCACCTGCGCTCGGTGCGTGCGTGTGCGTGCTTGTGCCTCGGTCTCAGTCGCTCACACTACCGTGGCAGGTCTGCGGTCCATCTCCTCCTCCAACTTCACCATCTGCTGCATGTCCTTGGCCTTTGAGGAGAGAGAAAACACAGTCAGACACAGAAACTAAACACCACACTAAATGCACATCCTCTTTTTGTCTTTTGTTACCAATGTTGACATATGCAAGTTTGCTCTTTAGTTATAAGTCCTGAATGTTGTATTGCTCATCAGTTTTATCAGAAAGACATATGTTTAATTATAGTAATATTATTAGTTATGTAAACCACATGCATAGTAGGAGTGACGTGTAATGGTCACCACAAAATGTCTGCAGGGGGACACTGTCACGTACTATGAAAACAAATGATTATGAGCTAGAGTGAAAGCACAGTGATGCAGGTTGGGAGCTGGCTGTTTCTGCTTAGTAATAGCTGGTGAGTCATGGTGATAAATGACTCAAGCTGCTAGTTGGCGCTGCTAACACCCCGAGAGCTGTAGACTACAAATGTGGGAATGGGATTTCACAATACAAAGAAAGAAATACTATTTCCCTCCTTTACTCAGTGGTGATTCACCTCAGAAGTGCACATTATGGTTGTAGATGGCAGGGAAATACAGATTTGAACAGGCTCAGCGGAAAACTGAGGTGACAGGGGAAAAAAAGAGCAACATGACTAAGTGGTAGAAGGAAAGAGAGATGGAAGGAAACATGATCACCAAGTGATGCGCTGACAGAAATGTGGTTTCAGAGGTAGAATTGGGTGAGATGGAGATGCCTACCTTGAACCTGTTTGTTTGCATGGTGTGATTTCAAAAGCTGTGCCGGAAGAAGCAAATCATATTAAAAATGAACATGTGCATACATGAAAGACATGTACAGGTAATGGAGTGTAGCAGATGATAAAATAAAATAGAAAGATGAAGATATGAGACCTTCATATGCAAACAGAACTATAAGTTTTATAGTTTCTACTGTTTGCAGGGTAGACTTAATACATATAAGCAAGATACAATCCAGTCCCATGTTATAGCGAGGAAACACTTTAGTACAAAGTTATGTAAGTCGTCACAAGAGAGTTGAGACTTTGGTTATTTATTATGGACTGTTTATTTTTTGGGACGTGTGACCTGTACTACACAAAGGGAGTTCAATCTACTCAGAGTTAACTCAGGGTTATCAGGCAAACTCAGGGTTGACAAACTCTGACCGCATACACTGGTGTTAAAAGGTACTACGACGGTGAATAAGATGTTGGTTAGCTGAGTCGGTGTTAACTTAATTGGAGTTGGTGTGCGTTTGCGTAAAAGGGGTGTGTTCGGCCGTGCAGACATTTTTGCCATGCTTCGTATTTTCCCCAGGAGAATGCATGTTGACTGTGTCAGGATATGAGGAGGACACATTTAATGGCCAAATCTAACACAGTGGCAGCCGACAAAGCCAGGGAGGCTTGTTGGCATCGCAGGGAGTAAATTTGTAATTATCTTCACACCGTCCTTATTGTAGGCCAATTCTTTATGATGTATTTTATGGACTCTTCATTTATGTGTAATATCATTAAGATGTAAAGGTACAACAGCACATTGTGTCCATTGTAATAAAAAAAATTGGAGCCAGGGGAGAGGGGGAAAGAATTTCAGATTACTGTGGTAGATTTACGAGAAACTAATAATCACAAATCTACAAGTTGAAAACTTGAATATTCTGACACTGTATTTATATATTTGAGAGCAACTCTCTGAAAAAGTGTTTTTTTTTAAGGAACCACATCACTTTATATATATCACATCACACACACATCTGCCGTGTATTATGCATGCAGTGGAAAATTATATTAGACTTCACAATCGGATTTAGCAGTGAGGAAATAGGTGTGTTTAGCCCACAAGCACTATATTTTCATGCACCTTAGAAACTTTGCCGTGGATTGGCCTATTCAGAAGAAAACACCAGAGTGACTTTGATTTTTTGTGACTTTTTTTCCCTCGGTTTATTAACCCAACCCTGGCTCCGTATTTTTTGGACAGGTAAAATAATCAATCAAAATATGTGAAACACTTAGGATAATTCAATTATAGCCTAAAGATGGGCTACATCTAAGAAACAGTCCCCCTAATTAATAAAGATCTCCCTAAAATCAGAGGCTGCAGGGCTCGCTGTATGAATGTAATGCTGATGTGTTAAGAGTAACTTCATTTCAGCTGCAATAGCAGTGGAACAAGTCAGGATGAAATCTAAAAATATTTTATCAAGCTTATTAATATCCAGCTTCTCATCATTAACACTGGGTAAAGATGTGGTGTTTAGTCCACGTATACAGGGTAACCTCGAGTTAACTACGAACAAAACCTGCTTGGAGTAGTTCAGAGCTGCAGCGTAAATTGCCGTGACAGCAGCCCTCGATTAACACCTATCCACCTTTCCGTAAGTGGGTTGTAAGAAGTTGAGATGGAGAACAGCAGTCAGCAGATGGTAAGTTGGTTGTCAGGTATTGCCAGTGACCTTTAGTAAATTCTACAGTATATTATCAGTAAAATTTTGACTGTAATGTTTGCTTTTCTTTGTGTTGTACCTGCTCATTGAACTTCTCCAGTTTGTCCAACTGTTCTCTCTGGTTTTTCTGTAGCTGTTCCATCTCCTTCTGATGCTTCATGGCCAGCTGCAGACACACCAGGGACAAAGGCAGTACATTATAACATTTACTTACGGATTAATGCTACAAATAAGTAGTAACTTTGTAATGTCTCAAGCCATAATTAGTATTCAGATCACTGAAAACAGATGTGATGTGAGCCCTGGAGTTGTTTTTGGCTTGTAATTTGCTGTATTGTTTTGTCCCCGTATTGTATTTGTACTACTGATCTCTGCACACACTGGGTAAGAGGCCATGTACACCACAGGGACAAGTTTGGTCACATAGTGTTAATTAATTGTGCAACATCAATATAAATTCAGATTTGTTGCTGTGATCAATCACGCTAATGTCGTTAAGAAAGCAAAACATGTCAACAGTTAGAACCAGTGACATGACTTTCTTTAGAAAGGCTGAATGTTTCCTTGTATTTATGCTGTAAAATTAAGTCAGACAACTTGACAGCAATACACATCCAAACATTGGTAGGGTATTAATGCATTGCTATTATACATTAAAATGGGGGAGTCCGGTATATTTTATAGCCAAATATTTGAAAATGTAAGTTGTAAACAACCTACCCTCTTCCTCTCATCCAGGAACTTCTTGGTGTTGCTGCTGTTTAATTCTCGCACTCTCCTAAATAGCAAAAAGGAAGCAGGGTCATGGTGTTACAAGTAGCCCAGAAAAGTCACAACATAACCATTCAACAGTCAAATTGACTTACTACATGACAATAGATACAGTACATATGTGTGACTCACCTTTCCCTCTCTGCCTTGTTTTTTATAGTCTTGTCCTGGCTGATGGCTTTACTGTTTTCCATGGACATCTTGGCCTGGTTGGCACGCATCTCTTTGCTCTGCCTAAAATCGTGGAACAAGAAGCCACATGTACTGTAAGGACACTTGATTACGACCAGCATTTACACTAATGCTGGGGCTTCAGTTTAGCAGTTTACAGGGTTGCTTCACCTACAGTGAATGCGTGTGTGTGTGTGTGTGTGTGTGTGTGTGTGTGTGTGTGTGTGTGTGTGTGTGTGTGTGTGTGTGTGTGTGTCTGTGTCTCACCGTTCGTGGATCAGTTTGAGCTGCATGGTCTGTTGCTCCTGCACTGTAGTCAGGAGTTTCTTGAGGTGTTCACACTGCTGTGTGACATGGCTGTCCTTCATCTCCTGCTCCTCACTGCTGTGACTACTGATCAGTTCAGACCACTCTTTAGTGTGCTGAGCCGTGATGTCCTTTACCTGCACACACGTCACAAGTACACACCTGAATTATCCACAGCTGAGGCACTTTTCATCCCCACAGCTAATAACTTTGTGGAAAGGATGGTGGTTTGTGAGTTAGAAGTTTTGTGTTACCTTGACTTTGTGATCGGTGTTCAGTGTTTGGATCTTATCCTCTGTCTCCTTCTTCAGCTCTTGGCAGTTGTTTTCCCTGTGAGGAAACCACATACATGTGTGACTTTAAACCATGCAAGTCACAGCAATGATGTCAATACATTGTACTTCCCCCTTATTTTCTTTCCGTATATTGTCTTTTTTTTCTTACCCTCGTTTCTTGATGGCTTTCTCTAGTAGTTTCTCCAGGGTTGTCTTCTCCTTATCATGCTGAGACACCATCTTGTCCACCTGGGTGCAGTGGGATTTCTGCATCGTATTTTGATCCTATTGAAAAAAGAAAACATGTATCACTTAAGTATTTATTTATACTGTGGAAACCTTCTCAACGAGCAGATATAAGAATGAAGCCTAAACTAAAAATCACTGCAACACAGGCAGCTGCAATATACAACTGTGATTATGTCAAAAACATTCAGACATTGTTGTCTATATTGAGTAATGAGCCAGCACTCCTCTTTATTCAGTCAACAGATGGGTCTGGATGGTACTATTATACATGTGTTATGCAACAGGACTCAATACTGTGATAATTAATCAGCCACTATGAATGACCCAGCACCCGCCATGGTCTATGGTAAGCTCTGGTCAAAGGAAAAGCAACTTTAGCAAGTCTAATTTCTTACAAAACATTAATTATGTGGCTGCATGTGTGTTTACGGTAGAGTGTGTGTGTGTGTGTGTGTGTGTGTGTGCGCGCAGATGAATACAGTGATGAAGCAGCGGTCAGTGGAAGATGAAAGGTGGAGCCGGCTCCGTCGCTCTCTTCTTGTCCCTCTGAGCATCAATGGCTGTCCGGAATAAGCAGCAGCCTCTTTGCATTACCAACAGACAGGTCGGCACTAAAGTAACCACCCACCTTTGAGTGTTTTTTCTTTAAAGTGTTGAGCTCCTTCTGTTGCTTTTTAATCAACTTCAGGTACGTCTGCAGTGGAAGAGATGCATATTTATTTATCTTGCAGGTAGCATGTGTATAGATAGTATAGTAGTGACGTCTGTGATGTATTTTATATGTAATTCTAGGATCATTATTTAAGTACAAGTTACTACACAAATATTTATGAAATAACTACATAGTGTACAAGAAGTGGAAGATTTTAAGAAATAATGCTTTGTTAGGTGCTAGTTATTACTACTATTATGCTCTAGCAACTAGGTAGTATTACATCTTATTATATAGCATTACAGTATATATACAGTAATTATAACAATGCACCTCTATTGAAGCTTGTACAATGGACAAATTCAGTCACCTTTGTTTAACCATGTGGATGTGCTCAGTCGGCTCAAAAAGACTGATGCGCCGTGTTTGGGAATAGAGAAGTTGCTATTTTAGCGTGTTTTGCCACTATATATAGTACATTATACCACTACTAGACAACAAACTGCAGCACTCTCACACACTTTTTACAGTCTGTGATAGCTCAGATCAGAATTTATTTATTGCCATCATCAGAAATGTTTCATTAGTACTTTACACCAACATCATCATTTAGCAATAAATCCACATCATAACCTTGTAAATATTTATAGTTTACTTGGTGATTTTACAGTATGTATATGATTAAAACCTGTTAATAGCAGGACTTGTTTGGTGTGCATTTACCAAACAAATCCTGCTATTACTCCCAAGAGAAAGGAGCTAGGTTACCAACCTTCATTTGTTTTAAGTCATCAATGCTGACATTAGGCACAAGTGTATTATCTGAAACAGCAGAGAGAAAAAAAGTTGAACTGTGTCCACATAGTGTAAGTATGTGTGTATGTTTAAAATGTGTGTTTAAGTCCATATATACCCTTCTTGGTTTCTGCCGTGTTATTTTGGGAGGAGTTGGAAGTCTGGGCCATATCTGAGCTGGCCTGTGGTGTCACACTGGCCTTCATAGTGTCTCCTTTACCCTTTCCCTTCTTGTCATTCTTTGAGCTTCCACTGGGAACATCTGCTATGTCGTTCTACAAAAGGAAAAAGATTCATTTAGATGGTTAGGGTTAGGGTTAGGTTAGGGACACAGTTTTCATTGGATGTATGTAGTTATATCTGAGTACAGAGTGAATTGCTTAGTTTCAGCATCTCAGTAGTCTGGAGTTTTTTCACAGCGAGTTAACGCTGCTTATACCCAGTCAATCAGGTATGGAGCTGAGCGTTTATATTAACTCAAACAGAAGCTTCAGATGTGTGTGTTTGTTTCTCATGTGTACCGTGTCAATCCCCAACGCCTTCATCTGGTCAGCTCTCTTTTCCGCAATGGTCAAGAACTTCTTTGGGTCCGATAGGGCATCCACAATTGCTGAAACACGCAAACCGACGTGTTAGTTTAGTATAAGGAAAAGAGAAGATTAATTGATAGGGAGTTTTTGACAAGCATAATGATGTTTCCCTTATGACAGACTCCAACCTACTTAAAAATAAGAAAAGAAATGAGAGAATATACTCTTAAGAACGATCACTGAAGTGGTTAAAACAGTATTTCTTTTGACTGTAGTAACCATGTTATTTTGCAACAAGACAGTAAACAATGTGTTAGATTTAATCTAATTCCATTCACTCAGATCTACAGAACTATCACAAAAGCTATCCACCACTCGCATGATTAACTACTGCCTCATTATGCTGAGAAAGAATAATAGTGAAGTGTAGGATTTTACTTCTTGCTTAAATAACACTGTTTCTTAAGGAATGGATTTTATTTTAAGCTCCTAGTACAGTGCTGTGTGTCTGGTAGGGGAGTGATTCTGGCAGCAGATCTTAAAGAAAGCTAATGGTTACAGTAATAGTTCCTCAGCGCAAGCCCCTTGGGTTTATTTAATGACAACTCCAATTGTCCTGCTCATTTGTATGCTTCTGCCTGTTTTTAAACTCCCTGTAACTGCAGATTCACTGTCATCATCATTTGCGCCATGCCATTACTCTAAATGTTCAAACCAACCCAAAGCAGAGAGTAAGTGAGCGGGAGAGACTTCCTTTTTTCCCCCCTCTCCTCCCTATCAGCCTGAATAAACTAAGCAGTAAAGTATATCAGTATGAAACAAACATGCAATTCTGCATTTACACATTTGAAGAACATAAAGCAATATACATAAAGTTTTGTAATTATTGTTTGTGCGTGTGTGCGTTCCTGTTCCCCTCACCTCCGAAGCCGTCGGGCACGTAGGTTTTGAGGATGATTTGGCAGAAGATGGTAGGCAACGACAGAGGCTTGTTGCCCTCGTTCCTCAGCGAGATGTGACGGTAGCCAGCCTGCAGGCCGTCCAAAGGCAGGATGCGCTGGCCAATCAGCTTGTTGTTGTCGTCGTAGACGGCTATGCGCAGCACTGCCAGATCCGGTAAGATCACCTAGGAGGGAGGGACGAAGGGAAATGGAGGGAGGGAGGGAGGGAGGGAGAAGGAGCCAGAATAAAGAAGAGGGAAAAAAAAGATGGGGTGAGGAACGGGGGCAGGCAAAGTGGGTGTGAGAACAAAAAGAAAGTCACAGTTAGGAGTTGGTCATCAGCCCTGTGGAACTGCAGGAATTCTACTTAACCCACTCTAATGTGAAAATAGGTAAATGACAAACTAATTGGCAGCCACTGCAGTTAAATGGTCTCTCTTTTAAGCTAAAGCAGAAATGGCATCATTAAGAAGGGGGAAGGTCAAGGATGAAACTACAGGGGACACTATCAGGGTACGGTCGCAGTGTGATACAGGAAAAAGGCATGATAGTGCAGCAACACAGCTTATCTGACTACTGACGAGGCCATCTCCACAGATGTATGCATACAGGGAGAGGAGAATATCGCACGCACGCGTGTGTGTGTATGTGCGCAACTTGTGTCTGTGGATGAGCTTATGTGTGCACACCCTTGAAGAAAAGGGAGTGAGAATCTTAACTGGCCTTGTGTGTGGAGATAAGTGAATGGAGAGGAAGATGATTAATACCTAGACGAAGGGGAAGGTAAGAGATAAGACCAAAGAATACTCACTAGAGATGAATGGGTGGAAGCTCCCAGTTGTGTGTGTGCTTACGCAAACTTATCCTTGCAAGTGCTGCTTGTTTGTATTGTTCGCTCTGAGTCATCTTGACACCGCTGTGTATGCATGCATACAAAAGGTGTGGCAGTCTTTGAGGGCATTTGTGTGAGTAGATGTGAGAAACGAGTCTTGCCAGCAGCTCTGCTTGTGATGCCCCTCTTTGATAGCACTGTGTTAGTTTATGTGTGTGTGTGTGTGTGTGTGAGCAGAGCAGCACTGCGGCAGGCTGTGATTGATGGTGTGTGTTAGGAAGCTGGAGTCACAGTCATGGCTGAGAGACTCCTCATTCTGCTGAGAGCAGCACTATTACACACACGTTTCTCTCTCTCTATTCACTCTGAATCACCATTCTCTCTCCTTAATTTCTCCTTTTTACTCCATCCCTAATTATTTGTTTCTCTGTTTGTTTATGCTGATCCTTTCGTCTTGCTGCCCTTTGTTGTTTCTCCTTTCTTCCTCTGTGAACCAAAGCACAGGCAGTGGATCCCTTGTTTTTTTTCTCCTCACTTTTGCTGTCCCATCTCTGTTTTGGTTTGTGATACTTTTGCAAATGACCACAATTATTCCTTCCTCTCCTTATTTTCAAGAATACTCCCTCAGTTTCTTTTTTTTCTCCATCCTTTGTTGAACAGTCTTTTCTAGATTTTTACCACAATTCTATTTATCATTTACCCCCCATCTCCTTTTCCCTCCACCCTTCCCTCTCGGACAGAATGACCAGATTTCTTACAACCCAAATCATGGCTGTCCTCCATCCCTTTCGTCATCTTCCTCCTACTGTTCAAATATCACAGCTTTCATCACAATGCAGACAGCTTTCAAATGTGTGCAGCACATTTGTTTTACCTCACTGTATCCTGTTATCTCACCTGTCCAACAACCCCTTTTCTGCTCTTTTTCACTACCTTTCTGAAGACAAAGGGCTCCTCGTTGTAGGCTGGGTTCAGGCCATTGTTCATCACCATACGCGTGCGGAACTCCTTCCGGATGGTATCCGTTGGCAGTCCGTACATGTCGACCTCGACGTATGTGCCGATTTTCTTGTCTGACAGGAACTGCCCAGAGAACACCTAAAGTAAAAAGGAAGTCATCATTATGAATATTTTTAAAGGTGTAGATTTCACAGGAATAATATTTTAAAGAGTAATTTTTCACTGTGATTGGATCTTAATAGTGGGTACAATCAAGCATGAAATGTGTAAACTTTGTCTGCATCACGTAAAGGAGAAGGTAAGATAGCCAACTCCCTTCCTAGAGTACACACACACACCATGTTGTTGTTTCAAGCCTGAAACTACCTTTTGTATAAATATGAATGACTATATTTACCTTTTTATGGTTAATTATTTTATGCCAAAATTTTCTTTTTATACATAGAATTTAACCATTTTCCACAGTATAACTGAAGTTTCAGATGACCTGACCTGTACGCTGCAGGTTGCAGCAATGACGCCATCCACCGGTGTCTCTGAGAAAGGGTCAAACATCCTGTCTGACCGCCGCATGAAGTCGGGCTTCAGCAGGTACCTGACAAACACAGCAAAATCTACCATTTAGATCAAATGTGAGAATACTGATATTATGACAGATAATCTGAATAATAAAATACTACTATGTTTCTAAGACATTGTTTCAATTAAGCTCTAACGATCCATCGGGTATAGTAAGGTACTAAAGTGTTTGTTAACTGGGGGCCCGGCGGAGTGGCATTAGTAATGATGGGTGTCTGCAAAAGCCCTGATCTTCCCACATGAGATTTCCAGCATTAGCAGTAAAATCTCTGCCCTCAGGGACAGGATTAGAGCCGAGGGACGGAGAGAGGGAGAGATGGATGACGGCAGAGAGCCTCCGAGGCGGGTGAAGAGGAGCACCCCTCCCATGCTTTAATTGATGAGCATCGGAGAGGGGCGGAGAAGGAACGATGGGACGGATGGTAATGATGTAAGGACAGGAGTGAGGAGCTTTTCTCACCCGCAGGAGCCATTGTACTCAAACTTTCCCTGGTTCAACTGCATGGCCAGATCTGAGAGGGAGAATTAGAGAGGTGTTTAGGAACTGGGACACACATCAGGTTCTCACATTACTCACACAAAAATCTAATCTTAAACAAAACAATTAACAATTCAGTTATATAATTCTAATAACATAGTAATTAGTCATTTAATTGATGCTTTTATCTAAAGCAACTTTCAATTGGTAAATATCTCAGGTCGCAGGGGTTGAGTATGTTACTGTGGAAATCGAACCCACGTCTCCCACACCAAACGCATATGTCTTATCCACTCTACCATCACCACCCCCAGTTCACTTGCATCTGTTTCTGTGAAGCCTGGCTGAAACAGAGGAAGAGGCTTTCTACATTTTTCCTGATTTGTCTCTCCTTTAACCATTTATCTCTGCATCACAGAAGGTCCACCTCTTGTGTGACACACCTCCCCGCCCCCAAGCCATGCACATGCTCCACTCTCAACAAGCCATATGGTCTGACCCCTTTCACCGCTGGCCATGGGGCAGCAGCTGTTTTCCAACAGGCATCACTCACTGTATAGGTGTGTGTGTGTGTGTGGCAGCGACCATTTGAGTTGCTGAAATTCATACTTTCCTTTTACGTTCTTTTTTCCTTTTTCAAATAATTGATGGACATTTTGAATTGCCTTTGGGTATAACAAAGTAGATGTATAATTTTGGAACGCGGGTAGATTATTTATAAGAATTTGATTTGTGGACACTGGGTGGGATAAAAAATTTTTTTTTTCCTCCCACTCCTTTTCAAATATGTAAAGAAATTGACAAGAGTTTCAAAAAAAAATTGGCTGCAACTATTATTAATTTATTAATTATTGTGTTATTTAATCATTTTGATTTGCTTATTTGATTGCATTTTCTTGTTGGATGTTTCTGTTTTACATATATAAAAATTTGTGTTTATAACTGAGATAGTCTGAGTAACAAAAACAGATGAAGTGGATTAGGAGATGTGCGTTTGTGCGTACTCAGGTTCATGCATGCTTTACCTGATGCTGCAAAATGACATGCAAACCACTTGCAGAGACTAAGATCTAATTTGTGTTAAGTCTTGTGTGTATTCTTAAGCAAGGCAATGATTGGCTCAGTGAAGTGAGGACATCATTTTTATATAGCAATGTGGCCACAAATATCGCAGCATAGTCATAGTTTCCCATAATAAAATTCAGCATTAGTCTTATTTGCTTTATGACTCACATTAAACCAACCACATATCTCGACCCAAGAAATACTCTCACTCTAAAATCTGTGGATTATGGGTCGCTGGGACATCTGGAATGACATGTTGCTGTTGAATGTTTCAAATGTTATCTTTCGATGCTTTGAGCAACACAAATGAAATTTCACCCCATTGTATTAGAGTGATGACAGTTTCAAGTTTCAGGCACAGATATCTGAAAACCTTACTCCATTAAATCAAAGCTATCAACATACCACTAGCAGTAAGTGAAAAGGTGTGGGGTGAACGTTTAGTGAACTGACCCTTTAAACTAACATTTCAATCCAAACTGGATACAAGTCAAAATGTCCTCCTTGTTATTCTTGGCATGTGTATATTTGGATGTATGCATGTGGAAGTTGGTTGGGCGAGTGATTCTTGTTGATTAGTGGATGAATATGTGAGGTCAGAGATTCAGTTCATGACTGAGTGCTTGCATTTGTAAACGCACATGTGCTTTTAATACGTACATATTGTATGGAGTACTTGATATGGGTGTGTATGAGGTCAGAGGGCCCATGTTGTGTGCTGTGGTACCTGGGGTCTGGAAGTTGAGTGAAACCATCTGGCAGCCTGCGTTCCAGAAGATCTGAGGCATATAATTACTGGAGTCCACCCGGCCCCCCTTGGGGTAGATACGGCTCATCTGACGCTTGTTGTAGCTGCACTGATGCTCAGGACTTATTAAATTTTTTTTTAAAAAGAGGGAGAGCATGTGTGTTCCAGCACATGTGTGGGTATGCATTTGAGTGCTTGTGCGTCAAACAGACTGCCGAACTATTTTTAGTGTGAACAGCTTGGGTCAAGCAGTCCCATTGGGGAGAGCGAGAGAGGGGTAAAATGTGTGTGTCAAGCCAAGTCACACAGTCCAAAGGCACACTAGCCTATAGAGGCCTCCAGTTCTTTTCCGACAGTGGAAACAAATATGGCTGAAAAACATCAGCTCTGACCTGCCATTCAGCTCTCATTTAGGTGACCTCAATCTCTTAAGTTAAAACTACATAAGTCTGGAGTATTAGTAAAGAGCGAGCTTCAGCTGTCCGGCGCCAACTTTACTGTTTTGGTTCACTCTTGCTGCTCTCATAGCGTTAAAACATCCTGTTAAGATTATAGTGCAGAAGCACAAATTGCATGGATGCCTTCAATTTGGTCACTTTGCAATTTTCATTATGATAAAAACATTTTCTGATACAAAATAAGTAGTAAAAGACAGGTAAAATAAGTACTGTACTATGACAAGTTGACCACTTCTAACAGTCTATTTTTTTGGGATCTATGTCTTCTTAAATTGATCAGATAAAATGCAGCACAGCTACGACTTGAAGCCCAAAGGATACTTGACAAACTCTATGGCATTTGTCTTCAGATAGCCCAGACCAACAGACTCGTTAAAAGACGACATGTTATGGTGGATGTTCCTTTCTGAAAGACAGAAAAGGGAATGAAAAGTTTTTGGAATTAACATCTTGGTACACTTTTCAAGTATTCATGAACAAAAAACTTGAAGGGTCACAGTAGAGACATTAGAAAGTTGCAAAATGCATAAGGAGGAAGTCATAGCTCACCCTCAGCCACATCAAAACTCTGAAACTTGACGGGCTGTGCGTAGTTGACCATGGCTGAGAGATACGGGTGGATGTTAGTGGTGGCTCCTACGTAGGTGTACTGAGCTATCAGAGCCTCTTCAGAATCTTCTGGCTCCTCCACACCCTGCACAGGCGCAAACATACATAAATACTATGTTTCACACACACTTAAAACTGGATTGCTCTGATGAATTAATCCAGACATGATGTTTGGTTTTTACTGGTTTTAGGTGTGTGTGTGTAGTGGCAGTTGTTTGCGTACCTTCTTGTTGTTGTCTTGGTCAGATGCTTCTGAGATATCGGTGGCATCTGTTGCTTCTGTGGCTTCCGATATCTCCGTCACTTCATCTTCAGGCACCTGGAATCACAGACAGAGGTTCCCTCTCAATATCAATGTTTTTTTTTTTTTTGGTACAGGAATATGACATTAACATGTGATATGTAAACTATATGGATGCTGCATTTATCAAACTATAACACTGTGGAACTTGATGTGATTTAGACCACAATACCACCCTGTTCTATATTTAGGTAAAGCTAATGAAGAAAGCAACCATCTACAGTTGTGAAGCCAAATCTCACTGTGTCAGTGAGATCTACTGTGCACCAAAGGCATTTTAGTATTTCAGAAGCCAAACAATCCATTAAGTGTCAACCCACCTTCTTGATACTGTTGCTGCCTTCTTCCTCTTTCCTTGAGCTGACAGCATTACTCTGGGAAACACTGTTGGTGTCTTTCTCACTGGTTGCTTCTGATAGGATGCTGGGGGCCTCTGAATTCAAATCCTTGTCCTCAGCATCCTTTTCCCCTACAGGCACACAAACATTTATTTTGGAGCACACGTTTTATCCAAACCTTAATATTTTTGATTAGTTTTAACAAGCTGTGACACTAAGAGAAAGTCACTTGATGCAGCCTTTAGAAAATGTCTTGTTTATGGAAAAAATATTAAAATGAAATTTTCCCTTCAAACACCATTGCCTGAAAGATCATTGATAGGTGGTGTTATGTTGTGTATGTGTCAGCATAAAACACTTTCCCCTTTATCGCGCGCGCGCGCACACACACACACACACACACACACACACACACACACACACACACACACACACACACACACACACACACACACACACACACACTTTTAACTGACCGTTTAATTCTGTGTCTTCTTCATTCTCCTCTCCCATGATGATGGCAGGGGTGTTGGTCTCTCCTGCCTCCATGTGTTTCTTAAAGGCTTCTAGCTGTTCTGTATGACACACACGTGCGCACATGTTAAACACAAATCACACAAATCATAATGAACATAGATTAAAGAAGTCAACGGGCTGAGTTGTGTACGTACTCTGTTCAACTTCAGGTTTCAAGCGTTTGTTTTTTATGAGGATTTTACGTTTGAGGTCATTTGGAGAAGGTAAGGGGCGGCCAGATTCAATCTGCCAAAGAGAACAACAACATACACTTAAATAGAGATAACTACCATGCATATTTGGTAAACTCTGAGACATTATGAATCCGAATGTATTTACCGGGTAGTTTTCCAGAGGCTGTTTGAGAAGGAAGTCACCGAAGATCTCCTCACAATACTTGGCCATCTTGTACTGCTGTGGTTTACTGGTGACAGACAAACACAGATACACAATGCATTGGGTCCACACACTGCATCTATAAGAAATTAATAACAATGGCAAAATAATTATGCAATAACACCCTTGCTTATTACTAGTTGTACACAAACCTGCAATGGTTTTCAAAGGACAAAATAACAGGGTAGTCTGAAGTGACAAATGCTGTCTCCTTGATGGCTTGGATAACATCCTGTTGGAGGAGGAAGAAAAAAACCTAGTTAAAAAAGATGAAGTAGGATAAGGAGGAAGAAGAGAAAGAAGCTGTGATATATGCAATATTATACTCAACACAAGGGGGCAGACATACCTTATGCAATAACAAAGATTTGAATCTGCAGATTCCTCCTGCAACTGTTGCAGTGAACAGCAGGACAGTACTGCATGCGTGTGTGTTTGTGTGTGTGTGTGTGTTCACCTTGAATAGGATGTCTGTGCACATGGCCTTGCCATGAGTGATAATGGGCTCCTGGTCCTCTCCTTTCCCATCCCAGCAGTCCAGCTCCACACATCTAACAGGATGGAAAGCACGCAGAAACTGTTCATGCAGGAATCCACTGATGGTGTATACATAAATTAATGTACCTGTGTAACTGAGAACAGCCTTACCATAGATACATAAGTATGTTCCGTTTAGTCTAGGTGCAGGTTTGAATACATGCAATGGAGTGAATGTGTGTTGACACCTTCACGTGTTTCTACCATCTTAACAGACATGACACACTTCAGTACCTGCATCCAGACAGCAGGACCTGGCGGTACATCTCTACTGAAGACTTTCCTCCAAACTGTCTCCCTGTCAGGTAAGTATTGTGGGACGAGCTGATGAAGTAGTGGGCTAGCGGCTGGTCCATTTCCTGGTACAGCTCCAGCCGGTCCAAGAAAACTGGAGCGTTTTCATCTGACATCAGGTACCGGCAGAACCCATCACTGGACATGCAACCTGGTGCAGTAGGAACGAGGGGGTGGTAGTTTATAGTTATTGTGTCAAAAGGATGTTTAATAGCTTTTAAAAGTTTAACCATTTGATATTGCTTTGGCCCCTATTAGTGTGTTTGTATTCAGGAGGGGCCCTACCAGTTAACTGTTGGTTTGTCAATTTGTCATGATGATAAGAACAGTAAGAATAAGAGGGAAGCTGAAATAAAAATCAACTATATCAGCAGAGAACTGTGCCAATAATCTGGTGAAAATCTGAAAATGCTGTAGTTTCTAAGGTACACAGGCAGATGGCAGCACAGCCTAAAACATCTCTCCGTTTCCCTCCACCCATTTCTTTTACCTTTCTTCTTCAGCTCTTCATCTCTCTCGTACTTCTCGATGATCTGCATGGCTCTCTTGGGGTCGTAAAACGGGAACAGGATCTCATTTAACCTAGGGTCACGCTGGTTCTGAAGAGCAACACATGCACACGCAGATTGATCCACACAGGTATTGTGTACACATACTTAGAGCAAGATGTTTTTGGTACTATTGGTACATTTGGAAATGACACAGGACAGGGGCCAACTGAACGCTACATGGGACACGGTACCAACAGTGCTCATTTCAACTGTCATTTCCTTATTTGGTTTATCAATAAACAAATACAATTGCTTTTAATGGCTTAATTATTATGACCTTACTTAGAGAGCACACAGGTATAAACAATATATAACAAACTAAATTTAATACAAAGATGAAGAAAGAAACTACAAAAAACTAAGAAACTGTGAGCCACACAAACAGCTGCAGTGGTTAATAAGTGTTTGCTTGAAAGCAAGGAAGTCGTACGTGTTACAAACACCATTATAATGCCACTGCCCACTCTCGTATCAGGTGGGAATTGATCTAACAAAAGCTTTGGCTCCATTGGCAGTTCTACAGCGATGTGATTGGGCATGAAGCAGCACATGCGACTGCACAGTCGAGGGACTAAGCAGGTATTCAGCGACACAGAAATGCACGGCCACAGAAAGCAGACACAGACAGCAGGACACAAGATGAGCCGAGCAGGAAGCACCAGGATGGAAACCTCTACCCTCCCGTTGCCAAGGCAACACCAATCAGACACAGGGAGGCAAGCCGCGGGAGGAAGAACGGAATGGGTTGACGGTGGGAATGCAGGATAGGGGAGTTGGTTGAAGTTGCCCTTGCAGGCTGACAGGAAGTTAAACATTTTGTCTGTCTCATTAATGGAGTTTTAATGAGGGTTGGCTGATGTCCAGTCCGGGCTAGAGGGCAACTTCTACCCAGAGCAGGGCGGGGTGTAAGGCAGGGGAGTTGCAGAGGGGGGCACGGGGAAGCAAAATACACAGATAAGTTAACAAATGATAAAGAGCTTACTTCATTCAGAAAGCTGACTAACTGGTCTACAGTTAAATAATCAGTTTTGTTCCCATTGCTGCAAAGGAATTAATTAGAAAAAAAACAAACAAAAAAGGTTATGCTTCTTAAAATAGACACCCTCAGAGTCATTCACACAGTCAGTCAGTTCAAATTAGAAAGCAGTCTTTAAAAGGGGATCATACATAACTGTTACACTTTTAGTAATAACATGTTAATCATCAGTCAACTAGTGTTGAACTGTGCAGGTTAAGCTGTCCAGACGTAGTTAGTGCAGCAGGCGCAGAAATATTTGTCCTCCTTATTTCCAACGAGACGCAGTAGCTCACACTAATAATTTAACAGTGGATAGCATTGTTCTATCTCAGCACAGGGTAACATGAGTATAATACAATACAACGGTACTATTGTTAAGTTGTTTATTTGGAGGAATTATCGTGTTCTTTGATTAATTTTGAGGTACAAATCAGTAAACATAAGAATTACAAAGGAGAGGGCAGGCAGGTTAAACTAAAGGAGACTTACATCTTCTTGAAGAGTTCCTCGATGTCTGTGCGAGGGCAGATCTTCTGTGTGAGCGCGTAGAAAATGTCATAGGTGAAATCTGATGGTTCAATCTCATCATTCTGTGGAAGATAAACCAGCCCACCATTTGTCAACAGGAGGAGCTGTAAACCTACTGTTTTAAGTGCAAAGTGCACAGAAAGCACCAAATAAATATGATCTATCTGGACACTACAGTTCATGTTGTCTGACCTTTCCACTAGGAAGGCCAAGATCCTTTAGAGCCTGAAAGATCCCCTTCTCGGTCTTCCCTGATGCAAATGTTCGAGTAATGCTATAAAAGGGAGACAGAGAAAGACAGGACATGTGAAGAGCAAAGATGAGCAAGACAAATTAGAGAAAAATAGGACGGCACAATGGTTCACCATTTACTCTTACCCTCTAACGGGAATCTTCCCGTTCACATTGGTCAGGAAGCACATTCTCATCCAACTAAATGAGAGAATGAAATGAAAACACACAGAGAAAAGCCCAGATTAGAGAGAAAGGGATGAAAAATAAAGCTGGACTTAAAGAGCACTGTTCATGTATTTAGATAATTATGACATGCTGGAGTGGTGCTGTAAAATGCACTCACTGTTTCTTGAGGCAGGTCATTGGACAGACGTTGTTGGCCTTAAAGTTGTGAATCACTGACCTCAAACCCTCGATCCACTTCTGCAAACAAACAAAAGCACAAGTGTTCAGGACACACAGAGTCAACACACAGACCAACTGAAGCCCACACACAGCAGGGTATCTCTAAAGTTTGGATTGTTCAGAAGTGAGTGTTTTAAATAAACACAAGTAAATTAATTGCCTCTTAATTCACACACTAGGGAAAGTGCCTTGAAAGGACAATCAGGAACACACACACGAAAACATACACACAATGATAAATACAGTGAGCTGTTTCAAGGCTACAAGCAGTGACGGTAAACAAATAGCTAGACAAGGCCTTGTAACTTTACATGAATACGCTGCTGAAGCATCAACAGAAACGTCACTGAGGACAATAATCTGAAAATGTTTGACCCCTCTGTCTTTCCATCTCTGAATGTCTTTGATTCCAACTCTTCCTCTTTGTGCTCTGTCTTTCCTTCATTTCCACAGCAAATTATAACTGACATCATTATAAAAACATTAAACAAGATGGGTGCAGCAGGGGTAGTCTGTTTGTGTGTGTGTCTGAACATGTGTCTGCTGATGTAAATAACTGTCATCTCCGAGGTCTGCTACTTAGGGCCACCTGCATGCTGGGAAGTGGGAAGTGGTGATGGTGTCATGTGTGTTTGTGTGTGTGTGCGCTTTTACTATCCTGCTGAAGGCTGTTGCATGAATATCATTGGCAGCCCTGTGGCAGTGAGCTCTGCTGCACAAACATTATTTATAACACCCATCACCACAAAAACACCCCTTTATGGGAAATGCATAAACACCAACACTGTGGTGCCAAATAACAGATCTGTGCTGGCTCAAAACATGCAGTTTAAGTTTGGTTTGGAACTGGTAGTGACTTTCAATTCTAGGGACATTCTTTGTCAGAACTGACATCTGTAAATACATTACATACAAATATTTCAAGGCTGGCAGTGTGCTGTGACTTTTAATTATTCTAGTTGTGTTACTGCCAGTGGGCTCTTTTTACTATCCTCAGCTCTGATCGTCATAGACAAACAATTGTGGATGACACATCCTCAAAAAGCCTATGTAAAATATTATCTAATATATTTCTGGATTGACAACCCTGGCTGAGACAAATTGCTCTCACTTTAAGTTGTCAAAGGGCTTTTTCTTGCTTCTGTGTCTTTTAATTGCTGACATTGGATTTGTCACTTAAAAAGACAGCTGACTTTGTTTTTGGATTTTCATCCTAACAAAGGTCAAAGGGTAAGGCTGGTGAAATGATATACTTTTTATACACAATAAGAAATCCCATAAAAAGACAAAAACCAATGATGAATTTATCTTACTAATAAGCATAGTTGACTAGCCAATGCCTGATAATGCTTATTTCTCATTGCCATGGATCTACAGTGTTGTCCCAAAACAATTAAAAACATGTTAATGAGCCACACTGGTGCACTGGGTGACATTTCCCTTTATTATCATGAACACAAGCCGTAGTTTATTTTGACTCAAATACACAACCACCCTGTTGCCGTATATACTTGCTTGCATACTATTGTGCATACAAATGTGTATTAAACTCCAGCTAAAAATAGTCCCTGAAAAATTTGTGCTTTTATTTTTAAACTGCAGTGCCCAGCTGTTTCAGAAAATTACCTTACCTTTTAAAAATAAAATTAAACATTTGTGACTCATTTTAAAAGATTTGCATTTTTAATAGGAACAAATCGGCTTGGAGCCAAGTGCCACAGACAGGGTAAGGAAAGAACTGAGAGACTGACCAACTATTACTGGCTTTTAGTAATTTTATAGTATTTGTATACAGAATAACGCAATCTGTGTAGAATAACCAACAACGGCTTTAATTCTCAAGTGTAAAACATTTCTAGTATGCCACCATGATACTGCAATTATTTTGGGCCACCAAGTAGTATCATTCTTCAAATCCAGATCAATTCCGCTCCAGGAAACTGAAATTTAATCTGCACATATAGTTGTGTATTGTGGTCTATACAGGCTGTGTACAATGTTGGAGCCAGAAAGACTCAGCAATAATAATGTCTGCAGATTAAAAGAGAGAGACAGAGAGAGAGGGGGGAGGGGGTGTCATCTGTCTGAGCCCAAAACAAAAATGAAGTGATGTGTGAAAGAGAGAGCGAGAAAGCGATAAAAAGAAAGGTGAAGAGGTGTTTCCCTACTCCCTTCTCACAGAGCTTTTTCCTTGATGAGTAGGAGGGAAAGAAAGAAAGAAGGAAAGAAAGGAAGGAAAGAATCAGAAAATAACAGCAAAAGCAGGAGGAGTGCAGGAGAGACAGTGAGTCATTCCAAATGCGTCTTAATTTATCAGAGTGAACCAAGGCCAGATTTTGCCTTGTGTAGGAGTTGGTATATGAACCATTCACCTCGTAATTTGCTGTGTTGGGGTGTTCTTTTATGCTTTTATATGATGTGGAAATGTTGAAGGTGCACTCCATATGCAGAGCTTATATGGCAGCTTATTTTTATCTAAACCGCCAACTAGGATGACCCATTCTTAATTTATTTGACCAAAAAGGTAATCAAATAAACCTAATAAACAGATACCTGTAACTCCATCTATTATAAATAATAAGTGATTCCCTTGCAGTATTTTTGCAACCTTGCTCTGGGGACATGTTCAGACAGATTAATTACCAGTATTTACAGATATACAATACCAAGTTAGATTTATCCTTGTTAAAATATAAAAAATATTGTTAAAATATACAAAACTGCACTGACTTTGGATATGAAAAAAAACATTAAAAGGCATTTCAAGGCGTCATTGTCACATCCACAGTCAAATACAGTGCACGCATGCATTTACCCTGGCTGTGTCCGGGTTTTCTGCCACCATGAACATGAAGTTGAGGTTGACCAGGTCTGTGCCACTGCAGATGCAGATGATACAGCCCTCTAAGTCTGCCTCCGTCTTTCCAATTGCCTCGAATGATGACAAGATCTTCAGGTCCTGAGAAAAAAGAGATACCAAGACAGTTTAGTGGTCACGCTCTCAGAAAGATAAGAATTGCCAGACAGAAAAAGAGATGAAGACACTTCCATAAATTGGAATGTTAGGGGGACTGGCTAATAGGATGTTAACTCGTCAGTTCAGTTAAGTAAATGTGGCGTTTGGTTTAACTTCATTCAAAGCCAAAATCCAATCAACACATAGACAACACAAAGATAATGTCTTTTGTGCTATAATGCTCCTTTTTGGAACAATATAGCTGACAAATGCAGGCTCGGGAGGCAAGGTATGCTTCCGACAACAAAAAGTAAGCAAGAACAGACTGATTTGGATTCTGATTGGATATATATATATATAACTGAGCAATGTAAGAAAACAATCATGATAGGAAATTTGGTTTTGGGTATGTAATGATGTCCAACATTATATGAACCCCATCCTGTGGTTATTAATCTCTCAATAAATTTGTATGTGTGTCATGCTGGATATGACAAGCAAAATAACAAAATAAACTGACCCTATTAATGGTCTAAATTACAATAGATGCAATTCAATAGATGAAACTACATAAATCATGACTTTTGCTTAATTTTGTTTCTTTCTATTCAAGGTCCCTCCACCAATGATCTTTCAATAATAAAGAAAATCAGCATTTTACACTTACAAAGTATGAATTTATTATAGACAAGCATTTATAAGGCTACAAATTTATGGCAAAATGAATTGCAACAATCTATAATACATGCTGAAAAAAAATGAATACCCATAATTACACTAGCCTATAAGACATTAGATACATGTCTGACATTTAAAAGTTCTGTCGGTACACTGATTATTCTCCTCAGAACAATCTGCAATCCTTGTCACAATCTACCCTGACATGACTGCAAACTCCTGTTCAACCGAGGGGGACCAGGTCCAGGACCAAATCCACGAAAACATTCTCTTACTATCAAAAATACAGCTTGGCTCCTCCCTTTGCAGATTTCAGGCTGCCACCACAGTCACCATGGCAGGTAGTAATGTATTTTTGTTATATGATTGAATTAACAGCAACAGGCTCTTTTGTTTTGAAACCCCTGCCAGCAATCATCCAATGCAATTCATCTTTTCTCGCTCATTGGATTATCTGAAACAGCTCTCAGGGCTTGTGTAACCATGTTAGCTTCTGAGGAGAAGCCCTGCCATCAGCTGTTCTTAGTCTGCTACTTACAGAACAGCACAGAGCATTTGAACAAACAGGAAGAGCAGATCTGGCCGCATTACCTGCACACGTGCCCTTATACATGTACATGCAAGCACGTCCACACAGAGGACCGAGCAAACAGAAAACCTCATGCTATCAACAATACACACACAACCTGGTAATGGTTGTACACAGTACACACTAGTGTCCCCTGTCAGGTTTTTGACTTTCAGTCGCTTCACAGGTTTGCATCCTAGTTAGGGGCAGGTACCCACATGGGTATTGCCGTAACAGCTTTCATAATTCATCTGTCTGTAAAAATTCCAAATACTACAAGGTAATGTGTCACTGTCGAGGCTAAACTGCATGAATCAATATTTAATATACAGAGAAACCATACAGGGTTTTTTTTTCTGTGCTCCATACCAGCAAAATAAATAGCTTACTGGTTGCCAGCAGTCTTGAAAATACAGAAAAATGGAGCTGGTCAGCACATATTGCGAGATCCATTTCCTATTACAGGATAAGAAAAAGTCATTCTGACAGAGACAGAATGTCTTATACCTGTGAGCTTTTGATCCCATTATGTGAACTCCTTTAACCCTGTGGTTCTTTGACAGCCCATCATAATAGGGCTGGAAGCACAGGTTTTCATTATACCTGTCCGGGTCAAAAGCACAAGCCAGGAAAGCTAAGAAGTTTCAGATACAACCTGCAGCTAAACCCAGTCAGGGTTGTATATATATTGATAAGTTAAATATTTATGTTTATGTTCTGCTAGTGCGCCTAGAGAATAGTTCAGACCCCAAGATCAGTCAGTCGATTGATCAACAGAATACACCGTTATAGCCATAGCTAATTAAAGCAAATATAATGTGCTTGACATGGCACTGTCCTCAGATTTTACCAAGAATGTCACTGTGGGAGCAAGAGCTTGAATGTTGTGGAAACAGAAGCGAGGAAATTGTCTTTCCTGAGGTCTCACCTTTGGGACGGCACCAACACGAATGCTGTTGATGAGAGAGCACTCGAGAACCTGGCCTTCCTGCAGGAAAGATACACAGAAAGTTAAAGAGAACAAAGGAAGAATGTGATAGCAGGTGAAGAGGGAGACAGCGAGAAAAGAGAACTATGGGTCACAGTGCATTTTGTTTTAGATTTTTGTAATATTTCCTAATACCTGGTACACAGCGGCAACACCTCTCAGCATCTGACAACAGTTATTAACATTGGTCATTGTGATCCAAATATGAGTAACATCTCCACCTCTTTTCTCATAATAAAGTTTCCTACATTTCCTCCTTTGTATACTGGATAAGCATGTTTGAAGAATGAACGGAAAGATTTTTGTCCGTCTGTCCTTCAGGTTTTGCTGGATTACCGATATTCTTTCCTAGTTGATTTTAATACTGTGCTGGCATGCAATGAAAACAACTAGCTATCTTTAAGAAAATTTTAAAATCAGTAAGAATATGTCAGCATTTGTTTGTAACATCACATGGTCCTTTAAAGCTGCTAAGTTGAAGAAATACCTCTTGGACATCATTCCTGAAGTTAAATTACATGTCTACAGTGTCATGATGATGATTATTTACACTAAGCTATTCTTTTCTATATGTTTTACAGGATACCAGGGATCAAGGAAGGTTTGTGTTTGCAAGATAAACATTTTTTCTTTGGAAGAACCCCTGGCAGACAAATACATACACAAAGATTAAGAGGTGGAGGATGTACCTTTCCCTCACTCTTCCAGGTGATGAAAAAGCCATACTCGTCCACCCTCATCTGACAGTTGGGCTCAAAGATGTATGGGTCCTGCAGAAGGGGAAAAATACTTTTTAGCAGAGAGGGGGCTTCACCTATCACAGGGTTTTATTTGACATGGGAAGACATTAAACAGCCAGCCTTATCAACACACACGAGGCTTACGCAACCAGACAAACAGATGGCTCTAATTCATTTTCTAAGAAGTACCTGCCTGTCTTATGACACGGACACAGGCACACATACGCAAAAATATACACAAAAAGTATGTGCAAATAAATTCAGCATAAACAAATACATACACATGTTGCGTGCAGAGGAGATGAAACCAATTGCTAAAGCAAACACAAAGTAAGATTAAAGCTGCAAGCAGCGTTGGGCGGGCCCTCGCACTTATAAGCGCGTCTGCGTGTGAGCCGGCCGAGTTGCATATTCTGGAGCTCTGCCGGTGCGGCTGTGAATTTGCTACGCGGTTCCGACGCCGCATGAAGGTGTTATATGTCACTTCCTGTGTCCCCTATGTGGAGCTACATAGCACTTGCCGCTATGAATATAAATCGGTATTGGCGTGTAGATGTCTGCGGGGTGGGAGAGTTATCAAGCACGTAAAGTTTGTTTCAGATGTGAGCATGTACACTGAACAATAATGTACCCAAACAATAAAATAAATTCCTTTTATATTTCCCTGCCTTGTTGTTTATGTGTACATACAGAGGAAGAATGTGAGAACAGCACACATTTCATCGTTACTGTGTGTTAGAGCATGGGAGAACAGTGGATACTTTTAATACAGCCCACACCCCTAATACTGTGTAACTATAACAAGTAGAGAACAGAAGAAAAAGATGTTCTTTCTTTACAACTGTCTGCATAGCTTATTCATATTGTATAATGAATGAAAATAAATAGGCCTACTAGGCTCCTCTCTACTTTGACATTTAAGATTAGCTGGTTTGATCCACCTTCATACACATGTGACATTACTGTACAACTTGAGAAAGGTGAGTTGTTTTCTGCTCCAGCCTGCCTAAAAGAAAAGCGTTTTTGGGATTAAATGGACTTTATTAGCTGCTGCAGTGCAGGATGAATTCAGAATAGACCCATTTCTCACCTTATTATTCTAAATCATGCAACGAAGAAGAAGAAATGCATAATAAATCCTGGGACAAAATCTGTCCACAGCATGTAGTCTGATGAACAAGACTTGTGTTATAGCTGACTTGGGCAGTGAAATGTTTAATTTTTTTAATTCATGTGGTCATAGTTGTCCACAACTCAAATCATAATTTAAGAAGAAATGTTTTATACCACCTCAAGAAGGCTTCCTATCAGAAAGTTAGGAAGGTATTTCAAATGTACAACTGCAGTACTTAATTCTAAGTAAAGTAATTTCCCTGACATTACTGTGTTACGCATGTAACAGGTTTTATACTTCCTGTGAGTATAATCCAATCAGTCTTATTTTCATATTGTATATCCGTTGTGTAATTTGATAAATTGTGTTGTATGTGGTGCTCGCATCGGGTACTACTGAGACTTCATTGCCCTCTTCAGAGAAGACTCTGACTGCAACATGCGTCTTTGTAAAGAGAGAAACGGACAGAAAAAGTCTCTAACTCTGCCTGTCAGCTCGCTCTGCTCCGTTAAAACTGAATTTACCATACAGAATTGAATACGAGTGCACTCCAGATTTAGCTGCAGCCAGCTGACCGTGTGCTTCTCCCTATACCGCAGTTCTGTGTCCATGCATGCAGCAAACTGAAAGCACTGTCTGTCGGAGCGTCTACGTGAAAAGAGAAGGAAGACATTGCTGGTAGTATTGTCTTCAGAGTTGTTAAACACCTCAGCGCACTGAAGGAAGCCATCTGACTGTGTGAGGGGCAAGATCGTTGATGTCTGCAGGCAGAGTAAGAGCTCTCCTGTCTGACTGGTCCACCAATAGCAGAGAAGATGACCCCTTGAGACACAGCCCCTCCTCATTTGCATAATGAGGCAGAAATGCATACAAAAATTTAAAAAAGACAGGCAGAAATAAATACCATGGGTGAAAATAAATAAGGTAAATAAATACAAAGGAAGAATAAAACAGACAAAAATATTAAAACACACACATAAATAAATACATTAAAAAATTAGTAATAAATAAAGTTGAATAAACAAATAAGGTAATTATAACAAAGGTGAATAAGTAAAGACACTAATTAAAATATAAACATTTATGTCTCCTTGTATAATTTAATTACTACCTACATTTATTTATTTACTTTATTTTTGTGTGTATTTAATTGGATGCTTATTTATTTATTGAGCATTTATTTATTTCTGTATTTATTTCTGGCTGTGTCAGGATCGGTCCTCCATAACGGGGTGGGAGAGTTATCAAGCACGTAAAGTTTGGTCCAGATGTGAGCATGTACACTGAAGTTACAACAACTTCCTGTGTCATGGCGAAGACTTGATCTTTGAAGCCACGCCACGGACACGCCCATTGACGAAAACTTGCAAATAGCACAACTTTTCATCTTCAATGCCTTTAGAAGGCACAGCAGAAATTTGAGGTCGGTCGGACTAAATCCCTAGGAGGAGTTCGTTTAAGTACGAAGTGTGTAAATCATCCAAAATTTGACGTAAAATTCAAAATGGCCGACTTCCTGTTGGGTTTAGGCTATGGCTCCAAGAGACTTTTTTGTGCGTCTGGACAAGATACACGTACCACAGAAAATTCGTGCACGTAGGTGAAACGTGCGGCGGGGGCTGCTTCGTTAAAAGTCACTTCCTGTTGCCAGCAGGTGGCGCTATGACTGTGGGTGAATGTCAGCATGTACATGTGTTCAGGGCGGGACTCTCATCCTACATGTACAGTTTGGTCCAGATGTGAGCATGTACACTGAAGATACGACAACTTCCGTGTCATGGCGAAGAGTTGATCTTTGACGCCACGCCACGGACACGCCCATTGACGAAAACTTGCAAATAGCACAACTTTTCATCTTCAATGCCTTTAGAAGGCACAGCAGAAATTTGAGGTCGGTCGAACTAAATCCCTAGGAGGAGTTCGTTAAAGTACGAAGTGTGTAAATCATCCAAAATTTGACGTAAAATTCAAAATGGCCGACTTCCTGTTGGGTTTAGGCTATGGCTCCAAGAGACTTTTTTGTGCGTCTGGACAAGATACACGTACCACAGAAAATTCGTGCACGTAGGTGAAACATGCGGCGGGGGCTGCTTCGTTAAAGGTCACTTTCTATTGCCAGCAGGTGGCGCTATGACTGTGGGTGAATGTCAGCATGTACATGTGTTCAGGGCCGTAAAATTCAAAATGGCCGACTTCCTGTTGACTTTAGGCTATGGGTTCTTGAGGCTTTTTTGTGCGTCTTGATATGATACATGTCCCCAGAAAATTTCGTACATGTAGGTTGAACGTGAACGAGGGGCTAATTTTTTCCAATTTTCTAGGTGGCGCTAGCGAGTCATTTTGCAACGCCCATGTGCGAAACTTGTAGAATACGAAATTTTTCACCGGTTCTGACATGTTTGCAAATTTTGGTGAGTTTTTTCGAGAATGTTTAGGCCATGTCAGTTGAGCCTACTTTGCAGAAAAAAATAAAAAATAAATAAATAAATAAATAAATAAAATAATCCAAGCAAATTCAATAGGGACCTCACACGGTCGTGCTCGGGCCCTAATAAACATGACTGCCATGAGCTACATATGCAAACATCATCTAGAACACAGTGCTGTGCATTAAAGACAAGACAACCCTGGGTGAGATGCATGTGTGAGAGTCAGATCCCAAAGTGTTCTAGCCCAGCTATTATAGTGTTACTGCACATGCATGCTCTAATGTTCCATTTATCAACTTGTGCACATTATGCAGCGACCCCTAGTAGAAAATCTACCAATATTAGCTAGCTTATCTTAACCAAATATTTTCCACTAAATTCAATAAGCTGCTGGAACCTGTGATTGCGCTGATGAATTTTTTCTTTATCCCACTCAAATCTCACATCTGAGAATGATAAAACATAACCGAGGTAAAAATAAAATAGGAGGTGGCTGCTGGGTCAATAAGTCTAATATTAACAATAGGGAACAGTGTCTCACACACACACACACACACACTTCAGGATGTTGCTTCCATGAGATAGACTACTGCAAATGGGACTGGGCTAGCTTGTTATTTGGCTATATAATGTCATCTAAAACAATCATAACCAATTGAACAATCTTATTTCCATTTAGGAAACAGTGAGACTACTGTAAGTGCATTTAAAAGCTTAATTCGCTTTCATCTGACTGACAGGCTTCAGTTACACATAGTGAAGCCTCTGTGAAATGCCATGAAAGAGATGGTCACAAATGAGCCCAGACTTTTAAGAACATACAGCAGGCTACTGTTACATTATCAGACAGCTTGTTCTTAAAAGATAAAGGGTTTATGGGAACACTCAGTCCTTCCACACGCAAAGGAACAATTAGCTGAAGGTCTAGCCATCCATGGGTGGTTCTGGATGGATAGAGAGTCCGAGTCATGGTAGTCCAGCTCCCACTCAACATGTGTACATTCTTTCCTGAGTGGCTGGGCAAGTGTGTGTGTGTGTGTGTGTGTGTGTGTGTGTGTGTGTGTGTGTGTGTGTGTGTGTGTGTTGATCCCTCTTGTTTTACCACCTCCATCACAATTAACTTTGAAACAATAAGAGAAACCCTAAAAAAAAAAAGAATCAGGAAGCATCTAAATGTGCGTTTTTGTGCTCACACACATGCAGGTAAAACACATTCATTATTCATGCATGTTACTAGGGAAGGGGATAGAGACCCTTGTTGAAAAATGCTATAGTAGCCCTATCGAAAAATGCTACTACCTATGTGTTCCCTTTTCCAATCCCATAAATTTATAACTCAGTATTATGTCATCTTCTGTTTTTTCATTATATTATAACATCATTTCAGGAGTAGCGTATTCTGATACACTAATATCCCCTATCAAATAATGATCCCACTAGTGTTGTAGTACTCGAGACCGGTCTTAAGACCACTTTTTGATGATCTTGGTCTCATCTCGGACTCGACCGCCTTTATACTCGGTCTTGTCTCGGTCATTGAGGACTTGGGATTTTATTTCAAGACCAGTCAAGACCATAACTTTGGGAATATCAATAAATTGCTTTTGCATTGTCTGATTTGTTATCATCCTAACTTTGATTGGAAGTAAAACTTATTGCTTCAAATGCAACCAATAACCCTAATTAAACATGCGTTGTTCCCATTAACAACTGTCATCCCTCCCCGCAACGCTTACGTTCATTTCCGCTCTTAGTGTTTGTATGTGGGTGTTTTAATGGGAAAGTGGATCTTTCAGATCACTGAGAAGTACCTATGATCTCGTTCCACATTTTATTGCGTGCCATGCAATGCAGGGAACTGGTCTTGGTCCTCTCTGTCATATAGCCTTGGCTGCTCTCTGTCAGCTCCTGGCTCTGGCGTTGGTGGAAATGGTGAAGTTAAGTTAGCTCCAAACTACTCGCGTTGCCGACAGCTGCGCTCGTTACTGTAAGTACGTGCAATAAAACCTTTGCGAGTAAAAGGACAATACTTTATCAGTACACCTGTGTGTATGGTAAACATATATAAAGGGTTCATTGAAACTGCTGTCCTCAGTCTGTTGTCCTGTATGTCATCTACAAGCACAGCTAACGCTAGCTAGGCATTAGCCAAATGTTACAAACAGTCTAAATAGAAAGCTGTCTGGAGCATAGACTGGTCTATAGTCTTAAAATCTGGCACGGATCATTAAGCTGTCTCAATAAGGGTATCAATATCAATAAAAATTAACGATCCTCATCCCTACATGTTACTATGCCTGCATTAACTATATTATTAAGTTAAGCTTAGTAACTTAAACACACACAAAAACCCTGTTTACATCCATGTGAAAAACCATCAAGGTGACGTAAAACACTCACACACATCCAAGCCGAGTCATTCACACAAACACTCGTCCATACACATGCCCTCGCGCATTTAACAAGCCAGAACATCATGAGCCATTGTCTGGGTGATGAAAACACAGGAAGTGCTGCATATCATGACACTCTGGCTGCATCTGAAAAGTCAAAAAGTCTCCTTTCCTAACCACCTTTCATTGACCTCGATGGAAAACGTCATGAGGTCAAGGAAAGATGTGAAGGAGAATCCGTAAGGACTTAGGAAAAGAGGACGGCGTGTCTAAGAATCCGACTGCTCTATTCTAAGCGACGTAATTATGCGACGGCGGATTTTACTGACGTGACCTGTCGTGATGAAACTACAATGTTCCTAAGATGGACTACAAAAAGCGCATCTTGGACACTGCGCCCCATGTTGTTGTAATGCAGGCCATCTAAAAAGGTGGAATATATTACTTAATAACCAAGATAGCAAAAAGGCAGATAAGGTAGCCTACCAGTCGCAAAATAATAGACAGGGTTGTCACATTGAGAATGCTTGCTCAAGAATATATGCGCTGTGCAGCGCTCTGTCATCAAATACGATTTTACCCATTTTAAATAGTAACAAAATCAATCAATAATCAGCGTAGATAATGTGGCAGGCTGCCACAAATAAATCAGTATGTGGGAAACGCCTACTGTAGAGGTTATCCAGCTTGATCTTCGCCTTTATTAAGGCGAGGGTGTCGGCATCTGTGACTGAAGTAAAATGTATTTGCTGAAGGCTGCAGTACATAACGTGAGGCTACACGCTGCAACATTATCCTCACTTTGATCACGTTACTAGTGAGACTAGCAACAGCTCGCATGGGTCTCAGTTATTGTTGACAGCTTAAGATATATGCATATTAGCAAGTTATAGCATAAGAGAGAAAAGGCTTAATAGCCAATGGTAACTTACATGGTAATCAACCTCCTTTATCCGTCATGGTTGGTGATATTTTTTTTTTTATTGTAGAAAACACTTAATGGATTATTTCAACAACCCGAAACATTAAACAGTCTTGAAACAGTATTAGAATACAAAAAAGCCAAAAGAAAACAAACCAAGAGAAAGAAGGTAATTGTGAGTCTTATTAAAGTATCATAATGTGCGTCTGTATTGCAAGGATCTTGCTAAATGTGGTTGATGGATTTTATTGTTCGAGTTTTAGAACGTGCGCCTCTTTAAATGTTACCGCCGCAAGGAATTGTGGGACGGCATTCTCTCCTTTCCTTTCGTAAAGGATGGTCAGGTGTACCCTATGCTAAAGGAGATATGAAAGGAAGCATTGAGGCACCTTTCCTTAGCTTTTATACACAGCTCTTATTCATGGCTGCCACTGAAATACTTCCGGTTCACTTCACTCAGTTAGGAACATTCCTAAGCAAAAAAGACTTTTCGAAATTCAGCCTCCGTCTCTTGTGTCTATGGAATTGGCGTTTGTTATTTTTATTGACGCAGATGTCCCCTGCAGGCTCTGTATTTTGCAGGTAAAAGAGCAACTATTCACACACACACACACACACACACACACACACACGTTTGCCAAGCAAGAGTTGATAATCATACAAGAACTATTATCAAAGAAATTCTTGCCTTTACTCTTCAGATAAAATAAAGGATCAGTAATTAGCACTGTATAATGATTCATTAATGACCAAATGCAGTCATAAGAGTTTAGTGGTATGTCCCAGCTGACATCATTAATTCTAACCTTTAAGGTGACTGGCGCAGGTTGACCTTATTACCATTCAGACCAGTCCTCATATTCACAGCAGCAACACACCGAGGACTGTCTTCAGAAGCATGCCGGCCCAGTTTCATGGCTCACGTTGACATGGCTGTGGATTCGATGATGCTTTTCCCTACGCTCTTTCAAGTTTTCTTCTCTGCCTAAGAGGGATCCCCCCCCCCCCCAGCTGCCCACATAAACAGAGAGGACTGAGGGGATTTCCTGATGTGTGCAAGAGTGTGCTCATGTCTGTGTGTGTGTGTGTGTGTGTGTGTGTGTGTGTGTGAGAGTCTGCACGCGCCCATGCGCGCATGGGCGTGTGTGTGACACACTTTGCCTTTGCTCTGCAAATGTCCTAGCTAAGTGTCCTGATTAAGTTAGTCAGAGGAAACGTGGGCCAAAAGACAGAAAGATATACACGGGGTCATATTACACACATGCACACAGAGCAAGATGGATATTTTGTGACACTAATGTTATTGGTAAATAGTTAATTATATTGCTATTGGAAAGACAAGCAATAAATTTGCTTGTTGCTCCGTTTTAAAAATAATCTGTTTTTTTAGCTTTTCAATGATTCATTTATATTTTTCTTAGCTCAGTTATCTGTTGGTGGTTCATTATGGCGTTTCAGAGTTTTGTCTTTTGTACAGCACCCTTTAAGTGTGTTTGACATCCTTACGTATGCAAAATCAGTCTCAACTTTGCAATACTATTTTTGCACATTTTCTACTGATTTCAATCATACATGTGCACCTATAAAAAAAAAAAAAAAATAAAAAATCAATATACCAGTGAAGAAAATGATTAATTCACAGTGATTAATGGTCTATGTAAAAACACATTCACTCACTGAGATCACACGCACAGACAATTTTTTTTGCTGGTTAAGACTCTCTGTGGTCGTTATGCAGCCAAGCTGTCGCCATGCCGAAGCTTCTTAATGAGCCTGATCAATGTGCCCTGCCTACAGCTAGAGCTCTGACTACAACAGTGACGTATGTGGTTAAAAAGGAGACGCCTCTGCTACGTTATGTGTGTGTGTGTGCACGTTAATGACTGGGGGATGGTCATTAGTGGTGAAGGATGACAATAGGACAGAGAAAATGACCTATGTCAGTATCAACAAGGTTAGGTTGCAACATAGGCTGAGCATCCATACGCTTATCAGGAAATCTCATGATGCTGTATCATTAATCTGGCATTTACAGGTTAAGGGGCATTCGGATCTGTTATGTAAAAAAAATATGCATCTTTTTACCTCATCAAACCTGTCAAAGGAGGTGCCTTCCTGCATGAACTCAGGCAGGTGCTTCTGCCAGTTGAACTCGTAGGACTTAGTCATGGCTGCTCACAAACCTGAGACACAAACAGAGGAGAGGAAGACAGATACAGAGAGAAAGAGGCAGACAAATAGAGAAAGAATTAATAAAAAGAAATCTGTTAACAACCAGGTGTAAAGGTTCATGGATGTTTCAAGGACAGAATGCATGCTGCTTCTTTCCTGTAGTCACAAATACATGCTGAATTCACTGAGCGTAGCTACTGTTCCAAGGAAGTAGAATAACTATGAGTAAAACCATTTACCACTAGACAAGTTCTGAAATGCATGATTTTGGGTTAACCACATAAGTAGAACTTGAATGTTTGGGAGAGAAGTTGATCACGCGTACATATCCCAACCACTGACCTGAAAACACCCCAGAATAGGAATTTGATGCCCCTTTGAATGTACTGTAATAAACAATTGATCTTGTTTTCACTTAGGAGAATGAATACTAATAAACAGGTCACAGCATTGCAAAAGTTGATTGTGGGCTTTGAATTAGATCCACTGTATTAATGTTTGGGTGACAGACCAGGGAAGACATTAAAAACGTTCTGCAGTTGCACACAGCCAAACTTTAAATCCCTATTCAGTCAGAGAAAGACCCAACAAGTGATACCTGCATCCACAGCAACGTAATTACCTCATGTACAAGGTACAAAAAAGCACAACTAAATCAATGTGTGTCTTCTTCTGACAAAGAGTTAACCAAAGGAAATGTAGGAATAGCTATTATGTTAGTTGCACTTCAACAAATAGTAAGTAAAACAAAAAAAGAGCTTTCCAGATAGATGATGAACAGAGCAAAAAGCAAAGTATTTAAAAATGTAGGCAATTTATAATTTATCATTATGAATATATTTTACACATGTACTGATTTTACATTTGTGTTCCATCCATCCATCAACCGCTTATCCTGCGTGCAGGGTTGCGGGGGGCTGGAGCCAATCCCAGCTGACATCAGGCGAAAGGCGGGGTACACCCTGGAAAAGGTCGCCAGTCCATCGCAGGGCCGCACATAAACAAACAACCACTCATGCTCACACCTAAGGACAATTTAGGGTCACCAATTAACCTAGGCCGCATGTCTTTGGATGGTGGGAGGAAGCCGGAGCACCCGGAGAGAACCCACGCGGACACGGGGAGAACATGCAAACTCCACACAGAAAGGCCGGGGCAACCAGGGTTTGAACCCACGACCTTCTTGCTGTGAGGCAACAGTGGCACTGCACCACTGTGCCGCCCCATTTGTGTTCCTCCGGTCTTATAAAGTATTATAATAAATTTCCCAAATGTCAAATATAACAAAAATGGCATATTATGCTCAGTCAATTGAATCATTCATGCTTACACTCATCTCACACAGAGGATTTAACTGAAGTAATTTCTTGCCTTGGTTTACCTGATCACAAAATCTGGCTTTAGCTGTTGGTGCACATACTTTTATCCCCATATATTCCTTGGAATTACAAAATTCAATACAATCAACAAGGTTTCTTCCCCAGACATACTGTATCCCATATTTCAACTCCAAAAATCTGTAGTACACATATGTCTGAAATCGACTTTTGTTTTGTCTAATTGAATATTTCCAGACCTAAAACATAAATCTCTCCAGAAACAGAGATGTCAGCTTTGATATTAGGTAGTGATTTTAAACAAAGTCATGAAGTGACAAGATAAAAGGCTAGCCCTGTACACAATGGCATTAATGGAAATTTCCTAAAGTAGAAACAAATCAATCACTGTAGTCATAAAATTTGATATGGTTTGGCTCACAATCACTCGATTATGCAGTTACTGGCAGCCCAACAGCAGACGTTTTAACAAATAACTTGCATCTCAGCACAACCCTCCTCCACAACTCTCTAAACACATACCATATTCAGCCTGACAGTATTTCAGCACAATGTTTTAACCACCAAGACAGGCACTGCTGGGTAGTTGAAATGCAATTCAGTTTAGATATATTTTATGCTTGAATGAATACAAACCCTAGGAACCCCAACTTCCCAAACACAGAGTCTTGCAATTCTAGGACTATTTTAAAATGTTTCAAAATGTTTTTCTTGGCTTCGCTCTTGACTAGCAAAATTCTGTCACTGTGACATGCAGTAAGACATCTACTACATAGTTTCATTGGGAGCACTGTGAAAGACGAAGTGATGCCAGAATCTGCACTAGTAGCCTCACTATGCCAGAATGCAATGGAGCTGCAATATACAGTATTAGTAGTTAAGTATGAGTAGGCAAGGCAGGTTGAGGGAACATGGGTGCACCATATCATCACAGGATAACCCCTGGTTGGGACTCAGGGCTGGACTGGTAATCTGGCATACTGGGTGGGCCAACGCACCTTTGGGCTGGTGTAACATAAGTTATTTATTTATTTTATATATATATATATATATATATATATAATTTTTTAAAAACAGACCAACGATTGGCCCATAAAGCACGGATCGCGGCTCATTGGGTAATTTTCTATACGGACGCTGGGCTGGCCCAATCACATGTCTTACTAGCCCCCACCACCTCTGCTCTCAGTTTCTTGCGTTGCGGGACAAAAAAAATTTCTTCAGACGGAGGCCGCCAAATGCGCAAAAATAACCGATATTTTTGCTACCGGGGCTGCAGTAGCTTCAACATCAGCTGCAGTAGGCTACCCTGCGTAGAGCAGGCACAGGCACTTGAAGGAGTAAAGGAGAGCTGTAGCCACTGCCAGGCAGAGGAGGAGGCCTCTGTTAGCAAAACAGAGGGACAAAGTGACAGGGCTGAGTGAGAGAGAAAGCAGGAGGAGAGTGGAGGTGAAGCGGTAAGCATGTAGCTCAACCTGGGAGGCATTCAAACTGGGGAAGCTGGGGACATGTAGGCACAACTTTTTGAAACCATTTGTTAAAAATGTTCTGAAAAATAGCTTGCACCAAGAAATGTTAATTAACAAATAAAAATGCTATAAGAAAGATTGATTTGTACTTAAGAAAACCTGCAATGCAATGTAATGTCTGCCACCTGAATTTTGTGCTTCCCTTTATAAAAATAAAGACATTTCCACCATAAATTGGTGCAGAAAATGGCCCCACAATGCAGGAGATTAAGTGTTTAATGCTAAAAATCTTCTGCGGGAGGACCCCTAGACCCCCTATCGAATATTTCTTATGTAAATATTTTTTATAAATACTATGTCCATTACAATATATTCTTGTCTTGTAGTCATGGACACCAATCTTGTGCAATGTCACATCTCAGTGTTTCATCACATCCTTAATCTGACCCCCTAAATGGAACGATTGTGTATTGGTGACGGGTGTCCGACTGATTTTGGTGGGCCAGCTTCGGGCAAAAATGTCAGGGCCGATTTTTTGTCCCAGTCCAGCCCTGGTGGGACTGAACGATATAGGTTGAGCATATCAGACAGTTCAAGAGTATCCGAGGGTGGAATTTTCCATTAAGTCTACATTTTATCCAACAAAGGTTAAAGTCAAGGGCAACTGGACTTTAACCTTCGTTGGATAACTATGACCTGGATGACTGAGAATCTTCATAGACATTAAGTCTACATTTATCTTGCACTTCAAACCGTCTGGATGTGCACTGTGCTACTCTTCAAACACAAAAAGCAAGTCAGGCTGGATTCATGTGACACACCTGCACGTGTAGCATCACGTAAGATATCCAGCTCAGGCAGAGGAGGGGGTCCTGACAGGAAACTGTAATATTGTTGATGACACCACCCAAATATAGGCTCTTCTTACGTCAGCCTCAACTGTGTCAGGCAAAACTGAAGAAGAGAAGCGCACTTGATAACGTGACATACTATGTATAGTCTGAGAGCTCAGCCGGTACTTAGAGGTGTGATTCGATTTGGATTAGGAGTTGTTTCAGCCCATAGGCCTAAGATTCCTTCATAATGATAATTACAGACATTGCTAATATACAGAAAATTACATGTAATCAAAACAATCATATGCTTTTCAACTGGCATGGCTGTAATTTAGTCTCTAAAAGGTGTACTGTTACTTATATTAACGTCTTTATCACAAGTTTTAGTGGTGAAAATGTCCACCTGCGTGAGTGAGTGTGAGTGTGAGTGTGTGTGTGTGTGTTTGTCAGGAAGTGTGTGGAAGCACCGTGCTGTTAATCAGCCAGTGTGGATAGTGAAGTCTCACATTTCATGCAGAAGCCGCACATTTTCCTCCTCGGGATAAGCAGAGGGAAACTGGATGTTGATGGGTGAGACAACAGAGAGGAAGACAGAGAAAGGGTGATACATAACAGGAAAGAAATAGGGATAAACAGTGTTAGAGAAAGGTGGGAGGAGAGAAAGAGATAAAGGCAAAGGAAAAATGAAAAGGCAAAGGAGACACAATACGGAGAGGCAAGATAAAATAAAAGCATGAACTAAAAGTTAGATATGAAGCCATCCAGGTAGAAAAAAAAGAGAGACAGAAGGATGGAATACAGAAATGAGGAGAGTGACATGAGAAGCATAGAGATGAAACAGAACATCGGTGGGCAGGGAGAAACGGATGAGTGAAACAGCTGTGTGTGACAGAGTCTGACTGGAGAGGCTGGGGGATTGGGTGGTGAGTACAGTGCGGGTTGGGGGGGAGCTCTGTTTTTGATGTGGGCAACACAGATCAGAGACAACATCAACAGAGGCTACAGAAAACTACTAGCTGGGAGTCCACCCCCGGCATGACAAATGCAGATAAAGGGAGGCTTTTGAGATGTCTGTAGGCTGTCATTATGAAAATACAGAGTGATACAGAAAGGCCACACAATTATAAAGCAGCTAATAAGCGCTAATCTCACCCCCATGTGCAGGTTCATTAAAAGACACAATTACTCTTAATAGAGCCAACAGAAAATGAGAACACATAATACTACTACACCTTTTATTTTCTCAGCTCATTTCGGGTTCTGACCCCAAAGTGAAGTCTGCTACTGTATACACCACAGCACCACAGGAGATACCTAGAGATGGATGAAAAAGGAGCCAACTTGATCAAACCCAGCCCTCAGCCATCTG